GATATTTTGACATATATTCACATGTCCCATCTGATAAAATAGAAAAGATAATTTAAAAAAAATAAAACAGGAAAATCAAGAAGTGAATTGCGACAAAGTCCCCCACTCGCCCCCAAAATCCTAAGTTTGCCTGAGGCTCTCAGACTCTCACATCTCCCCTCTTCTCAGCTTTCTTGTTCTCTACTTCTTACTTCTTACTTCCTCCAACCTTCTCCTCCATCTTCTCATTAAGACCCGGGATACCCGGATTCCTGGATTCCTTGACCAGACCCGGGGTTTGTTCTTGTTCGCATTCGGCGGGAAAAAAAAAGTTAAAAAAGGGAAAAGATTTGCCTCTCGCATAACTCTTTTGACTTATTGAACTTTGAGAGCAAATTGTCCCAATTCTGCTTTAACGGCATTTGAACTGGTCCTCCGCTATCGAAGATCCTTTAAAAGCTCCCATCGTGAGGGGCATGTGTTCCACGTTCCGAGCTGGCGTCGAAGACTATGACGTCTGAAATGACTGATTCGACACACCCGATGGATTCAGGTATGTCTTGGCCATGCCTGATCGGTTATAATGATTTATCCCAAATTCCAATCGTCTGACGCATATTTTGTCTCTTCAGGATCTCATACCATGCACGACCCCGCCAAGAACCCCGGCCAGGCCCCGGAGCCCGGTGACGCCGACGCCAAGTCAAGAGCTCAGCCTAGCCAGGTCCGTTTCTCCTCCATCACAGAGGAGATTGAACCAGATCAATCCGGGTTGTCTCCTATACCAGAGCAATCGCAACAATCTCTATTGGAACAGCAAAAGCAAGCTGCGGATGAGGAACAATTACGGTCGCTAGCGATGAGTATGCAGGGCACACAGCTTCAGGAGTCCCGCCTGCGCAACTTCTCTTTTGACCCAATGTCTCTTCCTTCCTCCAGGGTATGTATTTTCTATCTCTAATTTGTCATCGGATGTTCCTCCGAATGTTCCAATCTTCTGGCTGCTTCAAGTGACGCTCAGTGGGATTGTGGCAAACTCGTCAGTATATTAACTTTGGACCTAGGTTGCATCTCGAGACTCGAGTGTTCGTAGCGGACATGGTAGCGGACATGGCACCGGTGCCTTTGCCTCCCCACATGCGTCTCCTCCGGTCTCTGCTGTACAGTCACCTCCTCTTACCCCCGCTGCAACCCATTCCCGCGAAGGCAAAACCAGCGAAAGTGCCTTTCTGAACGCTACCGGCCGACCCCATGTGCAGACTAATTTCACCCCTGAAGCGTCACCTCCAGTCGGATCGACCGACAAGAACGGCACGCCTCGACCCGCCTCATCCTCCCGACCCGTGTCCACCGATCACCTGCCCCCCAGAAAAAGTGAAGGTTCGGACAGAGCTCCTCATCCTAATGCGATTCAACTACCGAGACACCGTGCGCAATTCTTTATTGGAAATGATGGCGGATCTCAAGAAGAAAGCCCCCCGCCCACTCCAAGAGAGTCTACTACCCCGCCAGGGGCTATGACCCCTGTAGGCGAACCTAATGACCCATATGCGCGTAACAAGCGACCACCCCAGTCCAAAAATCTTGCCCAATTGGATCCCCGGTTTATCTTCAGCGGTCGGGATGTCAAGCGAGCGCTTCGTCCGGGAGCTCCCCGATCCACCAGCGCAAGTGACCTCAGCAAATCAAGTGACAAGCGAAGCATATTTGGTAGTGCCAAGAAGGACCATGGTGATAAGAGCCAAGGCCACCAGCATGGCGGTTCTATGTCTGAGCTGAAACGATTCTTCAAGATGGGCCACCGCAACAAGCGATCCGAGTCCCCGACGTCAATGCCTAAGAAGTCGAGTCGATCATCTGGAAAGTCCACTCCGTATCAAATGGCCCCAGACAACGTTCCTTTTGCAGATGATCATGGTTTGAATTCTAAGTATGGAAAGCTAGGCAGAGTGCTTGGATCTGGAGCTGGTGGCTCCGTGCGTCTTTTGAAGCGCAACAGTGATGGCGTCACCTTTGCAGTGAAGCAATTCCGAGACCGTCACAACTGGGAGACGGTGAAGGAATACTCCAAGAAGGTGACTGCAGAGTTCTGTATTGGCTCCACCTTACACCATGGCAATATCATCGAGACCTTGGATATCATTCAAGAAGGCCCTCGCTGGTACGAGGTCATGGAGTATGCGCCGTTCGATCTGTTTGCTATCGTGATGACGGGCAAAATGGGCAAGGAGGAGATTGCCTGCTCCTTCAAACAGATTTTGAGCGGCGTATCGTACATCCATGGCATGGGTCTAGCCCATCGGGATTTGAAACTGGATAACGTCGTGGTGAACGACCGTGGCATCATGAAACTCATCGATTTCGGAAGTGCTGTCGTATTCCGCTATCCTTTTGAGAACGACATTGTCCCTGCTTCAGGTATGTATTCTGGTATTCTTTTCGGCTGCAGTTGATGGATACTGATTTCATGCACAGGTATCGTTGGCTCAGATCCCTATCTTGCCCCAGAGGTCTATGACGAGAAGAAATATGACCCCCGCCCCACGGATGTTTGGTCGCTGGCGATCATCTTCTGCTGTATGACCTTGCGCCGCTTCCCATGGAAGCAACCGCGCATGACCGACAACTCATACAAGTTGTTCGTTTCCAGCCCAACTCCAGGCACCCCAGTTCCCGAACCCAACCCACACCGTCGGCCCAAGTCCACCCCCGATCTTTCTTCCCAAGGCCAGGACAATAAACGTCTAACTCCTCGCTCGAGTGGACCCTCCGACCAGTCTGGATCGGAGCAGAATGGCAACGGGAATGAAAACGGAGATGGAAACAAAGCAGAAACCTCGCAGAAGGACGGTGATCGTTCTCCCGATACTGCTCAGAAACAAATCAGCGAAACTAGCAACAGCCCCCACGAGCGACCCACCCGCACAACCAGCAAAGAGGCACCACCGATTCCGGCATCATCCCAGAATTCTGGGCAGCGCCAGGAAGTCATTAAGGGCCCGTGGCGACTTCTCCGGATCTTACCGCGGGAAAGTCGGTACATCATTGGCCGCATGCTGAAAACCAACCCGAAAAACCGCGCGACACTCGACGAGGTAATGTCAGATGACTGGGTAAGGAACATTCATGCATGCCGACAGGATGGAACTGGTGAAATCATCAGCGCTCCCGGTCACACCCACGTCCTCGAGCCTCCCGCCCAAAGCCCTGCCGTGGCTAGCAAAGCTACCAAGGCTAAGTAATTATCCCTTCTTTGTATCAATTTCTCCTCGTGTCTATATATCCCCTTTATCCTTTGAGAACGGGTTGGCACTTTTGTCCCCTTACCTTTCGCGTTTACTGTGTGATTCCCTACGAGTACTGTAGATGATTTTGGCGGTTTCCCTCCACCGGGACATGTTTGAGATGAGTTGATATTCTTGAATAAACTTCTGTGACATTTTACCGCGTTCGAGTTTGCTTGTGAAAATCTTGAAGAAACAGAGCGCTTGCTCTCGCTCGACGGTGGATGTTACTGATAGACTTGCTTGGTTTGGGATCTTGATGTTTTTTTTTCCCCCTTTGAGCATTCTTTCGTCAAAGCTCACGCTTGAGCTTCATTTTCTTAACTAGTAGATACATTTCAATACAAACATACAACCATACAACATAAAGTATATTGTTTTGGACCTGAGGTATGGAGTAAATATCGGCGATATCGGCGATATCAGAATGTCTCACCGAACAAAAGAAACTGCCAGCCGCGGAGCTTCTCCGTGGAGCCCGCTTCTGTACAACATCTTTGCTTCCTTACTTACACCCAATTGGCCATGCTATTGTGATAGAACGATTTCTATATCTAATTTTATCCTACAAAAATGGCCCAATCTGACGGGGAGCCATTGGTTTCCTCCCTGTGGACGAGGTCACTAATTGTAACCTTCTCCAAAGCTCTTCCCAGGACCGAGGATCCCTCTAACAGCTCTGCAACTATATAGTCTGGCGCAATTGCAGGTCTCACCGTCGACTGCTCTCTCTATCCCCTCGACACCATCAAAACCCGACTCCAAAAAGCCCGCGATCACACTGCACCCCAAACCCGAGTCTCCCTACGCCAAACCTTCCGCGGTATCTACGCCGGTCTTCCATCCGTCCTCTTTGGCTCGGCCCCCTCCGCCGCCTCTTTTTTCATCGTTTACGATGGCGTCAAGCGCACCCTACTCCCACCCCAACCCACCGGCAGCAAATCTACCCCCCAATCCCGCTCCCACATAATCCTCACACACTCCCTCGCCTCCTCCCTCGGCGAAATCGCAGCATGCGCCGTCCGCGTCCCAACAGAAGTCATCAAGCAGCGCGCCCAAGCCGGCCTCTTCGGTGGCTCTAGTCTCCTCGCGCTGAAAGACATCCTGTCCCTGCGACATGCGGTCCCAACAAGCACAGCCACATCACCCTCAAACCCAGCAGCGAAGCGCGGCTACAGTCAGGTCATCCGCGAACTCTACCGCGGCGCAGGTATCACAATCGCCCGCGAGATCCCCTTCACCGTGTTACAATTCACAATGTGGGAGTCAATGAAGGAAGCCTACGGCAAGCGGTACCTGCGAACCGCGGAGACGGCATCGTCTCTCGCCGAGACGCAGATCCCCGCTTCAACAAGCGCCATGTTCGGCAGTGTTGCCGGCGCCATCGCGGCTGGCTTGACTACCCCGCTAGACGTCATTAAGACCCGGGTTATGCTTGCGCGACGTGGAGACGGGGGCGTTGAAGCCCCTGTTCGTGTTAAGGAGATTGTGCGCGGCATTGCGCGTGAAGGGCCTGGTGCCTTCTGGCGTGGTATTACGCCGCGTGTGACCTGGATTGGTATTGGCGGGGCTGTTTTCCTTGGAAGTTATCAGTATGCTTCGAATACTCTCGAGGGACGTCGGGAGGTGCAGGCGGAGAAAGGTCTTTGATTAGATCTTGGCCTGGTTTGTATATTATTGCTATATAGAAGGAAGAACATAGATCCCGGAAAGTGAGTTTGGGCAGTATATTTCTGTTTACTTCTCGGTTCTAAGCATCCAATCCAATTCCTGAACTTGTTCGGCAGTCAGGAGGTCCTCCATTTTCTTTCTGGGCAGGAAATCATGGTCTGTAAACTCGAACCCTGGGACAACAACCTAGTATTTGTTAGCCGTGATTATTCCAAAAGATGTAGATCTATACACAAAACTCACCTCACTAATCAACAGCCCCGAGGACTTCTCTCCTTCGGGCTCATCCGGTAGCAATAAAGATGATTTATACTTGCCACCTTCAACGATCCACTGCATCTTCTCCCCAAGCTCAACTCGAGGCCCAACAACGAATGTCTCAATCCGCGCCTTGGCCTTAGCACCTTCCGGGCCACTATCCGAGCTCTCTACCTCGTCCGCGTGTATAATGACATACCGCCCCCGCCCGCCCTGCCAGACGTGCACAGTACGACTCTTATTGCGGTGGAAAACGCCCAGTGGACGCTGCGGGGTGAGCAGGTAGTGAATTGTCGTGCTTGCGGAGCGGGTTTTGTCAGTGTCCGACTCTGCGGACTGGTAAGGGTTCGGAACCCGGTGCGGATCTCGATCCGTCTCAACGAAGTAGCCTCCTTCTGGATGCGGCTGAAGGTTTAGTGCATTGATGGTGGTTTTAATGGCGGGTGCTTCTGCTTCTTGGGATGGGTTTGCAGGAGTTGGAAATGCCGGCTTGATTTGGGAGATCGAGATGTCCATTCTTGCTTTTTGGATGCTTTTAGTGTATATTCTAAGGTTGTAGATGTTTGGGAGTGCAGAGGGAGGGGTGTAAGATAATAAATATGCTGAAGGGTATGTGGCGTTTAGGCAGATGGATTATATACATTGGTGGCGGTCTATAGAATTGTCTTCTTGCATGTTGTTTATAGTGTGGGATAAGCCCTAGAATGTCTAGAACGTACTCTCAGCTGAGCCATAAGTATCAACACTTATCTGAGGCCATTATGTACATATAAACATACTATTGACAAATATCCACCTCTATATCATATATACATGCAAATATGTTTCTAAGGATGTCTATTACACTCTCCAGATTATGGATTTGCCATAGATCGGGAGGTCCTAGTTCTTCCGGATTCCATACATTAATATACTAGCTTACATGCCAGAGCTTACCTTGGCAAAAGCGATCTCATCGCATGCAATCAGCAGAAGGGATAATCAGCCGCTCAGCTCGCTTTGGCCTGAAATACATCATGCAAGCATTGGACGTCTTGTCCCTTATATACCCCGCCTCTACGTCGTCGATCAGGCCCTCGATCTCAAAAACTTAGAAAAGATTTGAACTGCAGCCTTCTCAGAGCCCCAAACTGAAGCCTGTCTTGGCGATGCAGCCCAGCCTATTTGGCACGAGCTTAAGGTCTCCGTCTATACGAAAGTGGAGGCGGCTTGTGGTTAGACCGCGAGTGGAAATCTGTTGGGACTTGGATCTCCCTCATTTATCCAGTCATCCGGGGTAAAGTTAGACGATTGTTTCTCTCCGATCAAGAGCCTTGTCAAGTTGTGAATCTATGGACTAATATATAATTATACCTTTCAAAGGTACTATATATATTAACTATAGGGGCCGTGTTATAGTGGCAGTGTAGATAGATTATGAGCGAAATAGCCACAAATAACCGAGAAGCATCCCAGAAAGGGAAATTGGGGGGGTCTCCTTAATTAAACTGTTAAATAAAGATGTCGAAGGATCAGAATTATTCTACTCAGATCAAATCAACATCCAAGGTCATATATGATATAGCCCTGAAGTAGTAACATAGCGAAGTATACCCGGTGACGGCCCCTGGCGCCTCCAACTTTGAGAAACTTCCCCTCATTTGAGTGTCCTCCCTTTTGTCGCTTCTTTTTTTTTGTCCTTTCGACTTCTTTTGCTACGCGAATGGACCTGTGACGTTTACGTCCCCACCAAATCTCAACGTGCGATCGGCCCTGAGGGCAGATAAGCTCCGCATTCGCATCTCCGCAATTGGTTTCACTCTTTCAACGCTGCATGTATGGCACGCAAACTGAGCCACCAGAGGGTCACCTATGGTAAGTTGGGTCTTATTTATATCCTCTAATATTGCTAACTGTGTCTCTCGGCTAGTCCTCCCTCTACCTGATGCCCCAGGTGGCCACCGGTTGGGGGTCAATGGCCTAACAGTCGACCGCCAAAACTCCATCCTGTAAGTATCTCTCCTTCATTATGCTAGGATCCAGGATCTAGATCTGAACGGCTGCCACGTTTGCGACCACGATCTTTTCGAAACCAGCCTCATCTACACGTGGGTTGTACGGATACTAACATGACGTCCCCTCTCCTAGATACTCCGCGGGCCGCGACGGCGTCATCTGTTCCTGGGATCTCGACTTTCCTCTTCCCTCCTCGTCTGTCCCTGGAGACGCATCAACCCCTGACCAAAAGCCTAAACCGACCGGCTTCAAAACCCAAGTTCAAGCTCATAGTCACTGGATCAACGACATAGTCTTGGCACAGGATAACTCCGCTCTCGTTTCCGCCTCCTCCGACACGACCGTACGACTATGGCGTCCGCATTCCGAGTCCACCGAGGTGCCAGAGCGCATTGGAAAACATACTGATTATGTGAAGGCCCTGGCGAGCCCCGGGAGCCACGCTACGTGGGTTGCCTCGGGCGGTCTCGATCAAAAAGTTTACCTTTGGGATTTAAACGGCGGCGGCGAGGTATTGAACATCAATGCCGGTGGAGAAGATTCCACAGATAAAGGGTCGGTTTATGCGCTGGGCGCGGTCTCGTCCGTGCTTGCTAGCGGTGGCCCTGAAAATGTCGTCCGAGTATGGGATCCAAGATCTGGAAAGTTAGTGACCAAGTTCGTCGGCCATACGGACAACATTCGTGATATCATGATCAACCAGTCCGGAGATACAATCATGACGGCGTCGTCTGACCAAACGATCAAGATCTGGTCTCTTACCGCGGGTCGATGCATGAATACCCTGACCATGCACAATGATAGTGTGTGGTCTCTTTACTCGGACCACCCTGATCTCTCTGTCTTCTATTCAAGTGACCGGTCTGGCTTGGTGGCCAAGACCGACATGCGAGGGTCGGCCGATCCCGATCAGGGTATCTCCGTCGCCGCTCTACAAGAGCACGAAGGTGTTGTCAAGGTTGTGGCGGCGGGAGACTACATCTGGACAGCTACTCCCAAGTCTAGCATCAACCGCTGGCGAGATGCTGACACTACAGTTGGAATCGAGCCGCCGCCCGACCCAGCTCGCACTATAGACTCTGCTACAGCGCCTGCAGCCCCTTCAGAGAAGGGACCCAAGAAGATTCCATTCAATTCTGTTTTGCAGTTATCAGCGACCTCGATTATCGGTGGCTCAAGCCCTAAGCTGAATTCCGCGGAGCCTAACTTGGAGACAATTGGTCTAACAATTCCGGTTCATTCACAGCCCGAGGAAACCATTGAAGGCCAACATGGCTTGATCAAGTGCCTGATGTTGAATGATCGGAGACGCACACTTACTCAGGATTCCGCAGGAGAAGTTGTGCTTTGGGACCTGCTGAAGGTGATTTTGTTATACCCTAGCTGGCAAGTATAAGACACCGACTGACATAAACCTAGTGTATCCCCGTCCAAAGCTTCGGCAAGCGTCATATAGATGATGTTGAGTCAGAGGTCAACACCGTTGATAGCATTGGTCATTGGTGCACCATCGACGTGCGCACTGGCAGATTGTCAGTCATTCTGGAGCCTAATCGCTGTTTCGACGCAGAAGTTTATGCCGACGAGACCGATCTAGCACGATCTGATCTGCATCAGTTTAGAGACGATCAGAGAAGTGAGTATCCTTTTCCTTGGACTAATTATTTTGCTCTACCTGTCAAACTTTGCGCATGTTCTTTGCCATACTGACAACACACAGTCAATCTCGGTAAATGGATTCTGCGTTGGCTGTTTGCTCCGGTAGTGGACGAGGAAATCCGACGAGACAATGAATACCGCCAAGCTGCCATGGCGAGAGCAGAGGAAAATGCTCGACTGAATCCGCTGAGTACATCGGTGCCTGGCGATGATATCCCTCGCAGCGTTGGTATACCTATATCGAATCCTCGTTTGAGAACAAATCTGCGTCCAAGCTCAGATTTCCCTGGTGGCACGAGCGCCGGCTTTGGGATCAACGTGGGCACACCATCGTCAAATTACTTGAGCACTTCCATGCAGAGCAACTCTCCGTTCCCAGGGTTCGAACCAGATACACCTGATGCCGTGCCAACAAATTCCCATCCCGATGGCGGGCCATCATCCTTCTCATCGAGCGATTACTTCTCTAAGAGGCCTCTAGTGGCCCCACAAGCTGACGCCGACAAGTCTCTTCTATCTCCGTCGGATGCAAACTCAAATACAGGGGCGGCTCAATCCCCCGCAGAGCCCGATAAGGAAGAGCGGAAGAAGGGGTCACTATTTGGAAAGAAGTTCCAAATGAATTTCCCCAAGAAGTTAGGCCGCAATTCTACGGAGACGAAGCCTCAGATATTGGAAGAAAAAGCCGAAGAGTCGGAAATCTCTTCTATCAAGGAAGAGAAGGTGTATGAGCCTAATCTCTGTGGGGTGGTTGACCGCATGCGTGATGATTATGAAGAATTCTTGGCTGCAAATCCAGGTCGAGATTTGGAGACGGCTCTTTTGCCCTGTGATGAGGATGAAACTCCTCGACTAGAGATTCCTTCACGAACTGCAGTCTTCATACAGGAGGAGACTGGTGATACTGCCGTTGCCTCGGATCTGTACAGGGGTAGCGTAGGCCGCATTGGCGAAGATCTCGAAAGGCTCAAAAAGTCAATTCCTCATTGGCTTGGTGAGCTTCTTCTGAAGGTAAGTCTATTTGCTCGTGGTATTATGCTTTCCCTCTTGCTGATCGTTCGTCATAGAATCAAATTCCCTTCAAGGAGCAGGTCAAGATTGCCTTTGTGTTGAAGCCCTTTGATGATACCTTGCCGCCAGTCGTCAAGCCCGAGCCGTATGTTTCGGATTCTCTACCCTGGAATCCGTGTTGATGAAACTAATCTCAATAATCCAGGCCCGCCCCTAACGGTGCCCCTCCGGGCAATCCAAACACCAATAATGGCTCTCGTCTCAATGCCAACCGCATGCTCCGAGCGAAGAAGATTCTTGCTTATGTCGCAGAGCGTATTGACCCCGCAAACCCGGATGAACCAGCGGAGTCCGTTATGCAACCAGAGGAGTATCTCGAGCTATACTGCCAGAAGATGGTAAATCTTTTCTTCCATTTTGTACAGTCAATCATGCTAATCTCCTTCCACCAGCTCTGTCCACCAAACATGACTCTAGCAACGATTCGCACACATATCTGGCGTACCTCAGGAGACATGGTTCTCCACTACAAGACAAACGGCAAAAAAGAGATTCACCCGCCCCGATCTCTCCTAGGAATTGATGAGAACCACGCGGATGAAACCCACGCTTCGAACGGGGATACTAATGGACATGTACCTCCTGGGAGTATCCATTCTGTGACCAACTCTGGCTCTGTCGCAGGCTCTGCTATTACCTAGAAATACCAGCCTCGAGACCTTCCTACTCTTTTTCTTCTTTCTTTTGTTCAAATGATATTTGGCACACGCCAATCCTGTATGGATCTCTAGTACATATGGGCGAGATTATTTTTGTCTTTTTATGTATCGCATCTCCTATTTCCCTTCTTATGGGTGTTAGCGCATCTATCTTGGCTATTGCTTTGGGCTGTTTTTGTCTTGAAGTCGCAGCTTTTACAATATTGACGGTAATACCGGCACTGGCGAAAAATCGAATTTTCGGGTCCTTCAAGATGATTAGGGGAGAAAGGTCCGGCGTACTCTGTAATCTCTGTCTCTCACATCTCGAATTGGAGATCCAAGAGAAAATGGGGTACTAACTACACAAGATTCAATTATTCGCTTTCAATTTTGCCCTGAGGGCTCTTGAAAAAGGCAACAATTGCATTGCATTACTATGGAAAACATGGACGACAATGATCCCAAGCTAGGATAATCACCATCCGGTACCTTGCAACCACACTATCTCCATCTAAGAATCCCCCAAGTCTTCAACAGCCGGTTCCCTATTTCCCTACCTCCAGAAGCATTATTGCTAAGACAAACATCGCCCTGATCTCCACTCCCATATCCCTCGCAAGAAGCACTAATCTTCCCGTCCGTCTTAACCTCATTGTAAGCAGTCAAAGTAGTCGAGAAGAACCAACCGGAACGCTCTAAGCCAACTCATATAGCAATTCGACCCACCTTGCTACTCGCAATGACTAGGTATGTGTAGGGTTATATCGATACAGGTAGGAAAAGCATGTCGTTAGGGCTTATTATTCTCGTATCCCCATGCCGAGAGACGGTTGTCTTTGCGGGACTGGACTATTTGAACGAGTCGAGAGTGTCAAGGATAGCTTGTCCTTCCTTGTCTGCAAGCCACGCAATGAAGGAAGTTTGCTGCATCAAGACTTGCTTTGTATTTTCTAAGGGACGAAGTATGACCTAGATCCCATGCATACGGCAAATCCCGTATGCAACCCATTCTTAAATTAGCTTAGCTTAGAAGAAGATAGAAATAAGCTAAACCAAGTCTGCAGTAGAGTAACCAATCACAATATAATAATTAAATTTGAGACTGCCGTAGCTCTAGTCGCACGTGGCATTTTGCACCTCATCATTCAATCGCTCTTCTTTGGGGCTTGAATTGAGGTTGGGACCTCGGTAACATCGTTGCTCCCACACGACCGGCATTGCAGCTGAGGTTTGGCATTTTTGGTATTGGACGAGGGCCAATAGCGGATTATTAGAAACACTATAGTCGGAATAGAGAGCATCCAGATATAGGCTATAACGAGGAACGTCTGGAAGGGAGCTACTTCGAGTCGTTCCCCGATGAAGGCACTGCAATGCAATAGGAATGTCTTGAGTGAAGTTGACAGTTCCATGTTGGATAATTGGATTGTAGCTCGGTATTTATATGGCAGGACTGTCCAGACGGGGATGAGGAAGAGATTAGAGGGGTTGAAAATCTGGGTAGAGTATCCATGGTCCTTACTCTATACCAAACAAAGACTGTTCATACTCGTCTGCCTAGAGTACGGAATGTCTCGGATGTGTAGACTCAAATAGCAAGATATATTGTCATAGTACTCCGTACTCCATACTCCGTACACATGCAGACTTGTCACATTTTGCTTTTGCTTATATTTCCTTATATATCATTTGCAGATCTATGGCTGTTATGGGAAAAGGACAAGACTCTCATTGGTTCGTAGATTAGGCTTGAAGATCATCTGAGCGCTAGATAGGGCTTTAGTGAAAGATAGTTTGCCAACATTGGCAATTTGCTTTTTCTTATGGAGTCCGTATATTGTTTTGTCTATACTTCAATTGGTCAGTTGTGAGCCACAAAAATTGGTGTGATATGGCTCCTTTCTCAGTCAAATGTGTGATATTGATTCAACCCCCTTAGTTGGCTGGCTTCCAGTCACTTCGAGTCAAAATTGTATTATTTGAAAATAATTTTTAGTTCAGGATGGAGATGGTATAGGGGGAAGTTGGGATTCTGGGAAGTCCGTTTAAAATATGACATTTCTTGGCGTAACATTTCAAGGTCTTGGCATCCTCTAGAATATAAGCAATTAGCAAGATTATTAACCAGTGAATTGTTTCGAAAGTGAGACTTTCTTAAATTGCTTACAGAGGAATTCCCTATTTAGGGTACAACATGTGATGTAGAAAAATATTTATATATAACATATAACAGTGTGGGCTGATCCAGCGGGGAAAGTAGGGATTATTGAGGCTGAACTGCATACGCTTTGTCTTTTCCTATACTTTTCTTCCACTTTTTTGTCTGTTATATTTTATTTTGATTAAGGATAAAGAAGAGTATAGTGATCATATTGTATATAAAATAAATAAAATTACTAGGATCAATACAGTGGAATACAATTTAATACAATTTAAGGGTTCGCATTAACAGATCCAATAAGATGCAGTAGTGTGCAGTAGGTGCAGTAGATATAGTCTAGTTCACAATTTCAATATCAATAATTTACAATTCACAATTTTTGTATCACACATTGGAAAAAAAAATATAAAAATGGAAAAGTCCGTTGGGTACAAGTAGGCGGGAAGACCCCGCCTAACTCCGAATTCATCCTCAACATCATACCACCTGGATATATTCAAAATGACAAAGGCATCAATCAAGGCCAAATATCCATATAATCTTGGCTCATACGGGAAAGTCATTACAACTACAAGTCCTGAAGCCCAAATATGGTTTGACCGGGGCCTTGTGTGGGCATATTCCTTCAATCATAAAGAATCAGTCATCTGTTTCAACCAGGCATTGGTGCATGATCCATTATGTGTGATGGCCTTCTGGGGGTTGGCCTATTCTCTCGGTCCCAACTACAACCAGCCCTGGGACTTCCTCGGCAGCGACTTGGCAGCCGTCGTGGAAAACACATATCGAGCGGCAATCAAAGCTCGATTCCTCGCTCCAAATGCATCTCCCCTGGAACAGGCCCTCGCCAAGGCAATTTCCGCCCGATATCAAAGTGATAAGCCTGCTAGCATGGATCAATATGCTATTCAAAATCTTGCATATGCCGATGCAATGAAAGAGGTATACGAAGAGTTTACAGATGATTTGGATGTTGCCACTCTGTACGCTGATTCCTTGATCAGCCTTACGCCATGGAAATTGTGGGATATGGTGACCGGGACACCAAACCCAGGCACTCGGACCATGGAAGCAAAGAGAGTGTTAGAGACAGCTCTCAAACAGAAAGATGCCCACAAACACCCTGGTCTTCTGCATATCTACATTCATCTTATTGAAATGTCGCCTTTCCCAGAATTAGGCCTCCGACCGGCAGATCACCTCCGTGATCTTGTTCCAGATGCCGGTCATGTCAATCATATGCCATCCCATCTAGACGTTCTAGTTGGAGACTATCGAAGTGCTGTGCGCGCAAACCAGCGTGCCGCGATTGCAGACGAGAAATATCTGGCGCGGGAAGGCCCATTTAATTTCTACTCCGTCTATCGCATGCACACCTACCACTCGCTCATCTACGCAGCCATGTTTGCAGGTCAGAAACAGGCTGCATTTGAAGCCGTGGACCGCATGGAGGCGACTTTGCCGAAAGAATTGCTCTCCGCCATGGCAGACTACATCGAGTTCTTCATGTCTGTACGCGCACACGTCATGGTACGGTTCGGCATGTGGGAAGAGCTTATCGAAATTGCCATCCCCTCAGATCCAGATCTGTACTGCATGACGATAGCGACATTGCACTACGCCAAGGGAGTGGCATATGCGGCTACTGGGAACGTGCCTGATGCAGAGCGCCAGCGAGAGCTCTACCGGGCGGCGCGGAAACGTGTCCCCGATACGCGCTTGGACTGGCCCAACAAGTGCGTTGAGATTCTAGGGGTGGCGTCGGAAATGTTGGACGGCGAGATCGAGTACCGCCGGGGGAACTACACGGAGGCTTTTGAGCATCTACGACGCTCGATTGAATTGGATGATGGATTGGGTTACAGTGAGCCCTGGAGTTGGATGCAGCCTACCCGCCATGCATATGCTGCTCTTTTGCTAGAGCAGGGCCATGTCGAGGATGCAGCGGCTGTCTACCAGGCTGACCTGGGTCTTGATAGCACTCTTATCCGTGCTCGTCAACATCCGAATAATGTATGGGCTTTGCAGGGCTACCATGAATGTTTGGTACGTCTTGGTCGGAATGAAGAGGCGCGTATTATTGCGCCGCAGTTGGCGATAGCGGTCGCTGTGGCTGATGTGCCAGTAACGTCATCATGTTTCTGTCGTATGGATACATCGGAAGCGCCAAATGTTGGCAAGAGTTGTTGCAAATAAACTTGATAATGTATGTAAATTGATTTATAACTTATATATCTCAGACTCACAGAAAAACCTGTACATGTATTACCAAGATTTCAGATCTTTGTAGTCTAGATCTCCGATAGCCGGTGTCCTGTCAGTGAGTGGATTCGGTGTTTGGTCCAAATATCAAACGCCGAGACAGAACTGAACTCTTGTGAGTCTTGTCCTTTATCAAATTATACTTTCAACAGCAATAGAACAATTGGATAAGAAACTATCACGTCCAAACTGCCCTCCTATCAAGGGGATAGATATCACGTGTCTGGTGACGTCGCAGAGATCGTTTTCCAACTTCACTCTTCAAGCTACATAGGCAAGATGCCTCGGGTTATAAAACCACCAGTGAAATCTGCATGCTTGGCATGGTGCGCTGCATTCCTTGTCGACCACTCATTCTGGCCATAAGCTCATATTATATAGTCGAACATCGAAAACACGTTGTGACGGCCAAGAGCCCTGTGGCAGTGCACGTCCGACCCCTTGTCCTGGTATTCATTGGCTAATACATTGATTAGTGCTCCAGCAGAAAACGAGAATGCAGTTATCGACCTAGTCGCCGAGGTGGTCCTCGAAGAGGAGCCCAGTATGCAGAGGCGCAACGACGATCAACTGCAGACAACTCACTGCCATCTTCAGTATCAGATGTCACCAGTGAAATTGGTAGTTCAACTCTTCCTAAATGACAAATTGTTATAGTATCTAACTATTGGCCAGAGCCATTTCTGGATAACATGATCGGTATGGTCTCGCCATTCGCTGGGGTCCACAATCTCGATCTCTCCCCGGATTATCTGTCAATTGCGGATGGAGCCCACCAGATCTGGGGTCAACTAACCCCGCATGGTGATGATACTTTTGAGTCAGTCCCTGCACACAATGTGGGGTCATCGGTAATACGCGCCTATCAATCTGAAGCCGAAATGTTGGTGCAAAACAAACTGGTTCAAAGCATGACCCACTAATCGGACATACAGTGCCAATGCCTACTATATTTATATCCACCCGTATTTACCTTTGTTGCCGCCTCAAGTGGGACCGCTCCAGGAAGATCGCCCTACTATGATCAGGCCATTTGGGGAAAGTTCTCAAGCAGCAAAGTCACATATGCCTTACTGGCCGACATCATCTCTGAGTCTTGCTCTGTCCGCAATGCTAGTCCTCATACCTACAACTGAAGACAAATTTCCGATGGCCGAAACGAACCTTGCTCTTAGGCGGTCGTACGCCCAGCTATTTGCCCATGCGGCACTGGCTGCTGCGGAAACCGAGACTGATGATTTGGTACCCGCTCTGAAGACTAATCTGACTGAGACTGAATCATTAGGACTAGATGGATTGCATCCGCAGGTACCTATTCAGCTCTCTCCGGTTCTGGCTCTCGTGGTCCTTGCCATTTATGAGTATTGCCAGCGTGGTAATATATCCAGAATGCGGGCTCGAGGTAACCAGGCTATCACAACTGCTATGGATATCTCCATTCATACTCTTGATTCCACGACAACACGTTATTCTGAGGCACAGAGACGAGCTTGGTGGATGACTGTTAGTGAGATACATATGTTATTATCGGAACTGTTGCTCACCGGTACTATAGATATGGATTACATATCTGTCGTCGAGCCTCCATCTTTCTGTAAGTGGCTATATATACACTCATACCGGTTTTTAACTAATTGATATCCAGCCACCAATTGTTTCATTGAATGATCCACGAATAACTACTCCGTATCCCAAATTTGACGTTTATCTCGAGGTATTCATTCAACCTCCTTTCATAACTCTTCGATCATCTACTGACTATTACAAGCCATGGCCCATGATGATGAAATCACAAGCAGCTCTTTACGAGTCCAGCAAAATGGTCCAAAACATCGAACGAGTAGGCGAGACAGCCGTTCCCCCCGATTTCGGCACTCGAATACGCAATCTGGATTCGGAACTTGTATCTTTAATAGGCGAAGCAGACCGCCATCTTCTAGCGACATTCGACCAAGAGCCAGAAGCATCCGTAGCCCAAACAATGTGGATGATCAGTCGCATGTTCATCCATGCGTGAGTGATTCATCTTCAACCTCAACCCGTATTTCACTGACAATTCCAGTTCCCGCAATCGACTGCACCGCTTCCGAGCATTCATGGACATCCCTCTTTTCCTCGACAAATACTGCGATCTTGCAGCAATCAACAGCGCAAATTTCCCCCACGAAGCGTCTCCGCCTAAATGGGTGACAGACTGCGACATTTCATTCCCGTTCACCGAGCAGGAATCCTCTGTTATTTGTCTCAAGTCTGCGCTCGTGATAACGACAATATATCGCAACTTGCCGTATCCGGATCCACTTGCGTCGGTCCCTTCGAGATCCACGATGTATCCGAAAACCATTCCTTACTTTGCTTGCTCGGCTATGCAAAGCTGCTATGCTCTTCTCATGCTATTACACCGGCTGCGTGCGTCGCTAGCCACGGATCGGCTTGCAAGTTGTTATCACCTGCTTCAGGACCCTACTCCTGTATCGGAGATTGCTGATGCTGAGAGATTGAGGGAGGAGCTGCGACATGGAGTGGAAATCCTTGGTAGATCTTTGAAATCCGATGTGATTTTTGAGGGTGTTGGCGGGATGGGACGGGAAATTGAGGGCGCTTATCTGGCTGCTTTTCCTGATTGCTTTGAGATCTATATATAGCAGAAGTTGGAATTAAGACTTCATAAACAAGCGTTTGAACCCATTCTAGAATATTATCAAGACAATGCCCTGAATAGAAAATCAATGATCTGAACAACTATTCCAAAGTATAAATCATACATAGGCTCTGTCTGTGTTGGTATGCTACAATATATAGAATCCAACCTGAGGAAAATATAGAACTTAGCAACCACCACTTACGCTACGATCAGTATCAACCTGGTGACATATTACTTCCCAGATATCTCAAAATACTCGTCTATACTTAAAATAAAAATTGATAGGATTTCGGGGACATACTCGCCTAAAGAATCCGGTCACGTTGTCGGGAAAATTGATTAGCCGAGCCGATGATATCGCCCTTGGGGTTCTCCTGCGCGCGAAGTAATTTATAGGTCGATGATGAATTGTCGAGCCTATGTTTAATGGGGAGAGTGAACATGGCTGGCAATATATCCATCTCGCCATTTCTGTTCCAGCGTTGCTTTCAGCAAGCGTGGTCCGGGTCGCGACGGGCTCGCGTCAATTATGGCAGCACTAAATATGGAAAGAAACCTGGCGATAATGATATTCTACAACTTCCACGGAGGTTTGGTAAGTTTAAAGATTATGCACTTGCTCGTATCTGTAGCTAACGCACGAGATGTTAGGAATCGCCGTCAGTGGTGGCGCCGACTCTATGGCTCTGGCATACTTATGCAAACAACTAGAACGATCTTCTGATGTTGCTGGAGCCATCTCTGTCACTGCTTTTGTGGTAGATCATCGTGCCCGTCCGGAAAGCACTATTGAGGCACAGAAGGTTGCTGGCTGGCTTCGTGATATGGGTATGTTCCAAGTCTGAATATTTACATTTTTGAAGATTATTGACCATTCTGGACAGATATCAGAACACATGTTCTCAGTCTAGACTGGTCTGAAATTACTTCAAGTCAGAACCAATTGTCACCAAAGTCTGGAGCATCAAGTCCACTGCCATCTGCCTTTGAGACACATGCTCGACGACTCCGTTTCCAAGCCCTTGGCATAGCTTGTCATGAGTTTAAACTTGAAACGTTGCTACTAGGCCATCATCAAGATGACAACATCGAAACGACCATTTGGCGTCTCTCCGCTGGAGCCACCGGGTTAGGTCTTGGCGGCATCCCCGAAGTAGCTCGAATCCCCGAATGCCATGGTCTTTTCGGGGCTTCTGAGAGCTGGTCAACAACATCAATCCCAACAAGACAACCAACGATACCCCAACCCAGAATCCGATTTGATAACCAGAAGAACGGGTTCATCACCTTCCCCGATCAAAACAGGCCAGACAATACCTCCTCAAATGTAAAAATGGCAAGCCCCGGCATATTCATCTGCCGACCTCTACTCTCATTCACGAAAACAAGTCTTCTGGAAACCTGCCACAAGAACAACGTCCCCTACGTCTCGGACCCAACAAATTTCGACCCAACCCTCACACCCCGCAACGCTATCCGCAGTCTCCGCACTTCAAACTCACTACCCCGTGCACTGGGATCACAATCCATCCTCTCCCTAATCCGCTCCAGCCAAAACCTCCTGCAAAGATCAAACGAGCTAGCAAACTACCTCCTCTCATCCCAATGTCGAATCCTAGATTTCAACCCAAAGACAGGATCGGCAGTCATTCAATTCCTAGATACAAGTCCGGCATCCATGGACCCGCAACTGGCAACATTATCAACGTCGCGAATGCGACAGATTCAAACTATCGTTCTGCGCCGCATCACGGAACTAGTCTCTCCTTTCCCTGATAGCCAATTCTCGCTACGCAGCTATGAGCCACTGGTTTCTAACGTGTTTCCGGATCTAGATGGCGCAGCCACATCAAAGGGGCAGAGAAAAAAAGCGTTCACGGTAGCGGGTGTTCTATTCCAGCGTCTCGCGAATGAAGACTCGTCTGGAAAGTCCGGTGATAATATCTGGTTGTTATCCCGACAACCATTTATGAGAGGTCGGGATCCCGTGACGCAAATTAACGTTTCGCCCAGTGGCAGTTTTACTCCGTGGGTTTTGTGGGATAATCGGTACTGGATGCGACTTCGTCTTGTTGCGATCGACCGTGATCCCAGTGAACTGGAGGATCAATTGATAAGTCTTCCTCTTACAATACGTCCGTTCCATAAATTTGATATTGAACGGTTACGCAAAGATGCGGTGAATTCAAGGTCAACGAAGGATGCTGCTGGACAGAAAATGCCTGGGACTTTTGAGAATGTCAAAGCACTGTTATCTGCTGAAGCGCCTGCACAGCTGCGCTTCACTTTACCTGTGATATCAAGGGAAGGTATCATGTCTAAGCCAGGGAAGCCTCTGGGTCAGAAGGTTTGGCAACAACTGGCATTGCCGACTTTGGACTGTCGGCTATCTGGTCATTCAACTAAGTATTCCTCTCTTAGCGAGGTGGAATTGATACACCTACGCTGTCGCTGGAAACTGAAATGGCAGTGGATGTACAAAATGATTGACACTGAGGCACTACGCCTGATGGGCTGGCCGGTGGGTAAAGATACCGAAGACGCTTAGTGTACATGACAATAACACCTAGACAAACAAAAAAAGCAAGCCCTGTAAAAACTTGATCTCCTGAGCTATGCATGCATGGTCAATGGCTATCTGTGCAGATAGGCCAATATGAAGGGTGACAAGAAATAGGAATGAATACAATGAAGATAGGCTCATGAATATGTATGCAAATGAATGGGTGTCCAAAGGAAAGTAGGAAAGGCTTGTTCGGTATCAAAATACAAGGTGTAAAGAAAAGTTGATAAATGACGGGTGGTCAGGTTGTGGAGCAACATGCTCAGGAGGTGGAAAGGAATGTATGATGGGACAAGCTCTCGATGCTGTATGTATATCAGATCATTGCTCGCTCGCTTTGAGCAATGCAACGGCAGCTGACTGGGCCCGAAGACCTCCGACTTCTCGTTTCAAGCGGAAATTTTCTTTCTTCACTCGACCGATCTCGTCTAGAGCGCTGGCCAGTTGGGACTTCAAGGCGTCTTCTGCGTGGCCCGATCGCACATCCTTTGCAATCTTGCTGAGCTCAGTATTAAACCGATCATAGAGAGCCTCGTTCTCGGCGCTTGCCTCGCGATAAAGCTCGTCCAGTTTCTTTACGCGCTTCTCGCTGAGAACTAAGGACGACTCCAGGTCTCGCTCGAGAACGGTTGTGCGACCATTGTATTCCTTAGCAAGCGCCTCAACTCGGGCTTCAAGCTTTCGCATGCGAGCTTCAAGAGATGCGGCGGTAGTAGACGACGGAATAGTGTCTGTACGGTCAAAATCAAACTCGAGGTTCATTGGGTTGGATTGCCTTGGCGGCGTGAGCTTCAGAGAACGTAATTCAGTGCCAAGCTCTGAGAGCTCGTCTTTCAGGCCCAATTGAGTAGTGTTCTGGGTCTTCTTTTCTAGTTGAACACGATCACGTAACTAAAAGAATATCAGTAAAGTCATTATCGAGACAAATACAATGCTACGAACCTTTTGTGGGCTTTGCATGCGTGGTTTTTGCGGTTTCTGCGCAGAGGATGAAGATTGTGGTCGCTTGGAGTCGGCAACGTTGGTGGTTGGCCGCTCTCGAAGGCCCGGAGTCCGCTGAGGGATGCTTGACACGTGGGATCGCCTCCTTGACTCGTCTGCTGGCGACTCTGACATACTACCCCTCGACTTGGTCGCACGCTCCGTGTATGGAGTCCGGGGATCAATGTTTTCCTTCCTGCTCGGCGTAGAAGGACGGGGTGGAGACAGACGGCGAATGGGTGATCCTAATCGTGTAGGTGAACTGGATTTTGCTGGCGGCTTAGAACGCATTGGCGATTGACCGCGCAATGGCGATTGGCTGCGAATGGGTGATTGAGATGTTGGTATGTAACTACTCTGAGGTCTGGACTGTTTAGTGGGCGTTACGACTTCTCCTCGCGGGCGGCTGGAGGGGGTTGTCGGGCGGAGCTGTTGAGTGGGGGAGATACTAGATGCATCCGAGGATGCTGTGGGTGGTCGTAAATCCGAAAGAGAGCTCCTTCGCTTTCTGCGAGTCCTTGGCAGGACATCTTCAGAGAATCCTCGGAAGGAAGATAGAGAAGGCGGCTGTTCGTAGCCGGTCCCCGGCCTCGAGAGTTGTTCCTCAGATGCGAACCCATACGGACGATCGCGGGATATAGGGCGATCGCGAGTTGCAGGGCGATCACGAGATGTAGGGCGATCGCGGGATGAAGGACGATCCCGAGAGGTAGGGCGTAGGAACCCAAGACGAGCATCTACGTCAGTCGACTTGGAACGCAAGAGAGAGCCCTTAGGTGTATTGGGCTCTGAACCGGCTGGGCTTTGCTTTTTGCTCAATGTTCGTAGAATTGATGCGACTTTGCTTTCGCCTTCATTCTTCGAGGTATCCCTATGTATACCAAAGCCAAAGCGTTTCCGGAAAGAGGAAGAGTTGGAACCGACTGACCCGGCATTGGTATGAGATTTCGATTGATCGCAGGTCAGTGTTCCTTCTACGGAGGTACCCCCAGGAAGAAATTCTTCAAAGAGGTTGTCGAAGTCTTCAACCAGTCGGTCCAAAAGGGAGACATGGTGGCTGGGATTTCCGTCTTCGGTGAGTACCTCTGCAAATGCCATCGTCAAAGCACCGCGATCTCCATCGTTCCCAGATGCGTCGAGCAGCTCGGCAAGTAGTCGAATAATCGCGGCGAGAGCTCGTCTATTTTGTGGGCTCATATCTGTCACAAATTTCCGGAATTGCTCATCAAAATCACGGGGCGTCATGGTGTCGAACTGGCTCTGGACCCATTTCAGAGAAGAGGAGCTCAATATAGGGCCCATGCTTCTTCTCCAAGCGTTGGCAAGGAAGGTTTCAAATGCGACAAAAAGTGTATCAACTGGCACTTCTGCAGCAGCCTGGATTTTGCTTGGGTCTTCCAGCAAAATATTGTAAAGCTCATTGACAGGCGCCCGGTCAACATGATCTCTGACCCTAAGCATCCGACCTAGGATATTTCCACTCCGAGACTGTAGAGAAAGTACATAGGCTGCAAATGTTTGTTCTAGCAACCCGAACTGAGTGTCCAATCCGTTGGAGGCAGATGTCCCAACAACAGAGATTTTATTCCCGCTTTCCTCTTTTTCTTTGTCCTTGTCCTTCTCTTTTTCTTTCCCAGGGAAGGTCGAAGGTAAAGTGTTCGATCTCGACAGGTTGCCTCTTGGCGGGGGCATTTTGGGGAATTCGCCAGTAAGAGTGGCCGATCCTGGCCCTTTAAGGGTGGGAACGTTATCACGGCTACCTCCCAACAGGTTTGAGATCAGTTTTGTTGGCGAAGGTGGGCGGAAGCCTCGTGAAGACTTGACTTGCGTGATTAAGCTGCTGGCAATATAACGAAGGATTTCAAAATTGGAATGAACCAGCGGGTCAGTCAATGCTGGGTTTCGGGGGCTATGCAGAGGCGAGAGCAAATATTGGACTTTATTTCTTCATGTTAGTGGCAACAAAACAGAATTTTCAAGGGAGAGTCACTTACGACGTCGTGAAAGAGTGGGAACGAATGTCTCCGCGGTGATCAAATCCGTAGACGCCGATCCAACCACAGAATCGATATCTAGTCTGTATTGATCCCCATTTGGAGGAGATATTGATATTATTACCTCCAGATTGGAATCTCTCAACATTTCACCGCAGGCCGCCCTGGATGTATCAAACACAACTCGTATAGGGGAGGACTGAATCTGGTCAAGCGCGGCGCTCTCGCCCTCCTCGCACACACAGGCCAGTATTCCCACGTTACTTGGAGCTCCGGTGGGAGGGCTTCGTAGTGTCCATTTGCCTCCTTCTCTTTCGCTCTCGGGAAAGCGACCCTCAATCTTCGCTTTGGATATTTCTTCGATCAGTCGGTTGGCTCTTCCTTCATAGGTTCCAGCCAATTCCAATGCAAGTAGATCCGCTCCGGCGCTTGTTTCCATGGACTTGGCTGAAATTGGCGCAACAAACAAAATCCGACCACATGTGGATTGCATACAACGAACATTATGGAAGTCTAGTACCTGCAAAACCTGGAGTTCTGCTCGCGGTAAAGACGTGGAAATATCACTGGTTGAAGCGGCTGCATTGTCAATATCAGCCAGCACACCACGGGCTGTGGCCCGGCTTTCGGCGGACTTTGCTAGAAGGACCAGGCAGTTCTTATAAAGAAGCATGATCCCTGTGCTGCTACCAGATGACTGTGCGTCTAGATGGTAGGGAGGGGTGATCTCGTTGAAGTCGACAGCGGTAATCAGCCGACCTTCAGGGAATGTCTTCGCTGGCCATCCGTTCACCAGCTCTTTCAGACGTTGGAGGCTTTGGACATGGCTTGATGGAGAATTATTATCTAGTGCACAGATATCCTTCACGATGTCTCGTGCTTTCAGCAGGGTTCGCACGGCAGGATGAACCAAGGGGAGATTGCTGGTCATGGTGTCAATCAGGAGACTGTATCTAGGGAGCCGCTGAACGGGCTCCATCAACAAAGAGCGCAGCCTCTGCTCTCCCGTCTCGTATACTCTCTTCGAGAAGCTAGAATTCTTATCTCTCATGAACAGATTCAGAGTTTGGGTAAAACCTGTGTGTGCTCGCATATAGTCTCCGTATGGCTGTGAGAATTGTGGTAGCCATTCAAAGAGGGCCTTTGCGAATGCCGCAGCTCCAAGCGGATCTGCTCTATCTCTAGGCAAACCCCGATGATTAGAAGGGAGCTCCGTGTCCTGACCAATATCCGCAATGGCATCTTTCTCTGTTTCGTCCAGAACTTGTCGAATGACATCGAGAAAGCCGAGGTTGACCTCCAGAATTTCATTCAAGCATGGTGGGAACAATGCCGCTAAAGCTGCCTCGTCAGGGCTGTTACTTGATGGCCCTCTGCTCACAGCCTTTTGTCGAAATTCGTCGGCCACTTCATGGACAAGAGAATATAGTTTGGCAACATATCGCTCTTCGGTGTCCACAAGCTCACACATGGTGAGACGAAGGGCTTCTTTCTGACTTCTTGCGAACAGCCGCGATTTGCTGACATTGGTCGGCTGAGATGGCGCACGCTTCAATCGAGATGTTGGCAAAAACATAGGGTCTCCTAATGCCTCTATCAGGGGTGTGTATGGACCGTACTGGGGATTCTGACTCCCCTCAAGGTCTGATCCTGCACTCTCCCGTCGGTGGAATGGTTTTATAGTACCCGTAGGAAGCACCACATCGATGTCAATCCATGGCACCTTTCGCTCTTGATATGCGCTCCGAATATCCTGAATAATTTCCAACGAATCATCCACCTTTGTCATCCGATTGGCAAGATCCGCGGCATGCATCTCATCGAACATCTTGGGCACCTTTCCTCCCGGTCTTCCAGCCCGCGCCACCCCAGTCAAACGGTGTTTAACCGGCTCAGACAGCTCAGCAAAATACCTCAGCATGCTGACTGCAAGTCCTCGACACACCTCATCGCCTTGTTTTTCGCGGGGGAGGTGGTTGACCGCAGCGTACACGGGGGCAGCTGGGGACACTGTAATTCGAGGATAACTTTGGAATCCGGCAGGTGTGAATATATGGACCTGAATGCGAGAACTGCTCACAGTTGCATTGGCGGTGGAGACTGCGCCGTAGAAGACGAAGATGGATGATAGACAAGAGTCGACGACATGATAGAGGCTGAGTTGTTCGAGGGGCAGGTCTGCCAGTGTAGGGGCTGCGGGGGGAGGTGCGATGGTCGCCATAATGAATGATGCTCTTGCGACGCAAGTACGAAATGGGAGAAGCTGTTGAGCAAGCGCTATGCGCGATAAACAAATGAAATGCGCCGGGGCTTGTCGTAGAAGGAACGAAGGAGTAATGTAGTAGTAAGGTAGCGAGTGACTGGAGACACAAGGGCGCAAATGTTTGGAATTAAATGAGAGGAAATTTCCTAGTGAAAGACAGTTGAAGATCGCATGTAGGATGTGTTATCCTGGTAAAGCAATCGCGACATTCGCGCTCCCCTCCATAGAAGAAGATATCTACTCAATTCATAGATTCAGAGAGTAGACACGTGGGTAAACAAAAAGAAAAAGAAAAGAAATAAAAATCCACAAAAGGTAAGTAAAAGGAAGTGTAAGATTGAGGGGAGGCGTTTGTTTTGAGGCGGGGAGAGAGAAGCGGTGGGTTGATATCGCGATAGCCCGATAGACCGCTAGCGCTAAGAATAGTAAAAGAATGACTTTGAAGAGATATACTCCGGTTGCCTTGTAGGAATCACATTCTTTTCAACTTGTCTTATTCTCTTGTTTTTAATATTTGTCTACTCTTTGTCCGGACAACGATATCAACACCGTTGCTATCGTTGCAATCCCCAACTGCTGCAAGGACTAGTCTGACAGGTCACATCTGCATGATTCGCCGAATATATGGGGTTTATTGCACTTTGATTGCTATAGATTCAATTGTACACGAGCTTAATGATATACCTATATAAATTTCATTATATATATTGTAAGAACAGATTTTAAAAAATGTATAGATCTATCTGTCTGAGGCATAATGCCATTATATGTTATCACAAATGTGGTCAAATCCGGAAATTCTATCTTTGTTTACTCGGAAAATATATCAGCCACTATATCGATGATCGCCGGGTTAAAAATGTCCATGAAATTCATGCATGTTTAGCTTCTTATTGCATTTTCCCCTTTCTAAACTTATGATTTTGATCATCTGGACAAATACATATATGTATTGACTCATATGAGGTTGAACTTGCGATATCCCGAGGTCAACAAAGGTGAAATCAAACATTTGGAATCCATGGCAGCCCAATACCAGATCATACAATAATACAGCATCAGTACATATCCTTATCCAATAAAAATAGCTTAATACAGTTTTTCTGGTAATTTAAATACAGCCCCTGTTTGTAGGCGGTGAATGGGCGGGGAAGACGCTAAGCTCGATAAGGCAAGCAGCAGTATGATGAACAAGAGACCAGCTGTTTTGTTCCGACCTCCAAAATGGTGTCACAACAGCGAGCATCTTTTATGATGCTCGATCCCACCATGGACTCATCCACACTTTCAATTGCCATCGACCCAGTGGCTTTGGTGACCACTGAATGTATCACCGTCACCTCGTCCATGCGCAAGCATGCCCGCTGGGCTCATTCCTCAGTCTCCGCCATCCTAGGAGGCAATGGAGCCTCCCGTGTCTATGAGCGGGATAACTCTGCCCCCTCGAGCCCAGGTCCACGCAGAACAGGTCCATCGACACCTCGCCCCGATGAAGATCATGTATTGGCCAGTCGGTGGGGTCTGCGAGGGAAGAAGGGGAAGAGCATGCAGGACAACCCATTGATATCGGCATTTACCCGGCTGCGGAGTGATCTGAAAGATTGCAAAGACATCCGAACTTTTGATACCCCAGCTTTACTACATCCATTCCTACAGGTCGTTCGCTCCTCCTCGACCTCCGCCGCAATTACCTCTATCGCCTTGGTCTCCATTACCAAGTTCCTCTCGTACAATATCATCAATCCGAATTCTCCGCGGCTCCCATTAGCGATGCAGCTGCTTTCAGCCGCTATTACACACTGCCGATTCGAAGCTAGCGACTCGTCGGCGGACGAGATAGTCCTGTTGCGAATTCTGAAGTTGATGGAAGGTATACTTTCACGACCTGAAGGTGAACTTTTGGGCGACGAGAGCGTTTGCGAGATGATGGAAACCGGGTTGAGCATGTGCTGTCAGGGTCGTCTGTCAGAGGTACTCCGGAGGTCCGCCGAAATGGCAATGGTGAAAATGTGCCAGGTAATCTTCATGCGTCTGTCGCATCTTGACCAAGAAGTGCCCGCAGGGCCAGATCCATTTGCGGGAGAAGATACAAAGAAGGATCCGCCATCGCACCTGAAGATGGACCCGTCAGTCAATGGGGACACCGTCACATCGCAGCACCTGTCAGCCATCAGCGCAGACACAGCGGCCGCAGAACGGAACAGTACCAGTCGAGAGGGATCACCCGAGCAGGCAGCAAACGGCATCGCAGCAGCAGAACCACCGAGCCCGCATGATGACTCCGAAACCGAGCTTCAGCCCTATTCCTTACCATCCATCAGGGAACTATTCCGTGTCTTGATCGACCTGTTGGACCCTCATAACCGACAACATACCGACGCCATGCGCGTGATGGCACTCCGAATTATCGATGTCGCTTTGGAGGTAGCAGGCCCATCCATCGCTCGGCATCCTAGTCTGGCTGCCCTGGCTAAAGACGATCTTTGTCGATATCTCTTCCAGCTAGTGAGGTCAGAGCACATTGCTATTCTGACTGGCTCGTTGAGAGTGGCTGGTACCTTGTTATCGACTTGTAGGCCTGTTTTGAAATTACAGCAGGAACTTTATATTTCATATTTAGTGGCCTGCCTGCACCCTCGCGTAGAAATACCGCGAGAACCCGGGATCGATCCATCGCTATATGAAGGCATTCCCCAATCACCGAAGTTGGTGAAACAGCCGCCTACCCAGCCCAATAGCGGCAGAGCCACACCTGTTCCTGTTCAAGATCGACAGAAGTTGGGACTCGAAGGTGGAGCGAGAAGGCCCGAAGCCCGGGAGGCAATGGTAGAAAGCATTGGCATGTTGTCACGCATACCTAGCTTTATGGTCGAGCTTTTCGTCAATTATGATTCTGAAGTGGACCGAGCAGATCTGTGTGAAGATATGATTGGATTGCTGTCTCGCAATGCTTTCCCGGACTCTGCAACTTGGAGCACTACAAATGTACCCCCATTGTGTCTCGATGCTCTTTTGGGATATGTGCAGTTCATTCATGACCGTCTGGATGATGAACCGGTCCAAGGAGACTATCCTCCTCAGGAAACATTGAAAAAACAACGAAACACGAAGAAACTCATTATCAAGGGAGCACAGATATTCAATGAGGATCCCAAGAAGGGAATTGCCTTCCTTGTAGGCCATGGTGTGATTGAAGATGCGAATAATCCTGTTCTGGTTGCTCGCTTCTTGAAGGGAACTACACGTCTGTCGAAGAAAGTCCTCGGAGAGTATATCTCCAAGCGTGGAAATGAGGAGATATTAGGCGCATTTGTGGACCTCCTTGACTTCTCAGGGCGCAATGCAGTGGAAGCCCTCCGGGAACTGCTGAGTTCATTCCGTTTACCCGGAGAATCACCGCTTATCGAGCGAATTGTGACCATTTTTTCGGAACATTACATGGAAAAGGTGAATCCGGATGCCATCGCCGATAAAGATGCTCTGTATGTTTTGACCTACGCCATAATCATGCTCAACACCGACCTCTACAACCGCAACGTGAAGCCACAAAACCGTATGACTTGCGCTTCATTCGCAAGGAACTTGCGAGGTGTAAACGGAGGTGGAGACTTCGCGGAGGAATTCTTGCAGGACATCTACGATTCTATCAAGACAAACGAAATCATCTTGCCCGATGAACACGAAAACAAGCATGCGTTTGACTATGCTTGGAAGGAACTATTGCTGAAGTCCTCATCTGCCGGCGATGTCGTAGTTGGAGAGACCAACATGTATGATGCCGAAATGTTTGCCGCTACGTGGAAACCAGTGATTGCGACCCTTTCATATGTCTTCATGTCTGCGTCGGATGATGCCGTGTATTCTCGTGTGGTCAATGGCTTCGACCAGTGCGCGCAGATCGCTGCCCGCTATGGCTTGACTGAGGCGTTTGACCGTATCGTTTTCTCCCTTGCATCGATCAGCACTTTGGCTACTAGCAACCCTCCAAGCACAACGCTCAACACAGAGGTCCAGGTAGGCCAGAAGAGCGTGATGGTAAGCGAGCTAGCCGTCAAATTTGGCCGAGATTTCAGAGCACAACTGGCAACTGTGGTGCTTTTCCGAGTCCTCTCAACGAACGAGGCAACTGTCAACCAAGGCTGGGAGTACATCGTCCGGATCTTGAGTAACTTGTTCATCAACTCTCTTATTCCGCCATTTGATCCTGAACTCACCTCCGAACTTGAAATCTCTCCAATTCCGCTACAGCCTCCATCACAGGTGGTTGATCGGGATGGACGCAACAATGACACCGGAATTTTGTCTGCATTCACATATTACCTCTCAAGTTATGCGGCGGATGATCCCCCTGAACCTTCTGATGAAGAACTTGATAACACACTTTGCACAGTGGATTGTGTGACTGCGTGCTCAATTTCCGAAATCTTAACAAATATCAAGTCAGTAAAGATGTTTCATTGAATGGTTTGTGGCCATTATGCTGACTTCGCACAGATCTCTCCCCTTGTCATCATTGGAGGTGCTCGTGGAGGCTTTGCTATCCCTACTTCCCGAGGAGAACACACCTGCAGTCATTGTCGTAAAACCCGAACGCCATACACCAACGTCAAGGGCTGCTAATAGCAGAGTTGATCCTAACCAACCCAAATATGATCCTTCAATGATCTTTGTTTTGGAATTGGCGACGGTGCTCACTCTTCGTGACGAAAAGACCCTGGAGGTCCTTGGTGAAAATCTGGCAACAACTCTTCAAACATTGGTGCGCGATGCGAAGAACCTCCATCCGCTAACTGTGTCTCGCGTGGTTTCTTACCTCCTAAATCTCTTGCGACTAAGCCATGTATGTATTCTCCTTTACCCTGCGGTTTTGATATCCCCGAGTCTGTACTGATACTACCCTAGGACCAACACTTCATGCGGGTACCTGTTGTGCTTCACGCTATTTCTGGATTCGATCAGGATATCTTGGAAACCGTGGCTGTGGCCACCGTCAAGGGTCTTGCCAGGTGCATTGCTCATACAGGCCGTCTACGAAACGAGATCACAATTTCTCCGGATTTCTGGTCAATCTTGCAAAGACTTCACCAACACGAGGCAGTTGCTTCTCTTGTCTTTGATCTTCTACAGAGCATTGTTGAGTCAATGCCCGATATCATCACAGCCGACAACTATGAGTTCGTAGTCAGCCTGGCCAACGACTTCGTCAGCGCTGGGAGTGTGGGATCTATTGAAGAACGACACAGGGATGCTCAGGCCCGTCGGAATAAGGGGGTCAAACAATCCAAGTCAAGGTAAGGGTACCATGCAACTAGCTTTGGTGTTTATACTTATGTTTCCTCTTAGTGAGAACCAAATTGTGACTCGCGGTATTAAGGCAATCGGCCTGGTATATCATCTGACTGGACGAGTCCCAGCTCTTATCAAACAATCTCACCTCGAGGAGAACGAAGGTAACGACCAAATCTCTGATTATGGCAGCGAGTTTCTAATATGTGAATTTCTAGCCTGGGCCGCCTACTGGTCTCCTATTTTCCAGTCCTTGACCGGTCAATGCATCAACCCGTGCCGGGATATCCGACACCATGCTATTTCCACACTGCAGCGATGTCTCCTATCCGCTGAACTGATCTCAAGCGACGACAAGGAGTGGACCAGTATCTTCGATGAAGTCCTATTCCCGCTCGTCCTACTTCTTTTGAAGCCAGAGGTCTACCACTCCGACCCTGTTGGCATGAGCGAGACCCGATTCCAAGCCGCAACCTTGGTCTGCAAGATCTTCCTGCGCTTCCTTGACCAGCTTCCTAACCGGGCGGGCATGCTCCCTCTCTGGCTCAGGATCCTGGACATCCTGGACCGCATGATGAACAGTGGCCAGGGTGATAGCCTGGTAAGTTGATTATCCCACTCGAAGACTCAAGTATCTCAAGATCACTCGCATCTAACATTTCTTTCTCAATTTAGGCAGAAGCAGTCCCCGAAAGCTTGAAGAATATCCTCCTAGTCATGGCCGATGGAGGATACCTCGTGTCCCCATCCCAAGACCCAAGCAAGGAGGAAATCTGGGTCGAAACCCGCAAACGCCTTGGCCGTTTCTTGCCCGATCTCTTCTCGGAGATCTTCCCCGATGTTTCCAACGAGCCCGAAAAGTCTCCTCAGCACTCTGCCGTCTCCTCCCCCGAGGAGCCCCGTCAGACAGAGACGGTCACCGAGGCAGAACAGAAAAGCGAAGAGACTGCGCCCCGACAGGACAGCGAAGAAACAAAGGATGCTGCCAATGCCGAGAGTCAATCTCAAGAGGCAGGGGAAAGTACCTCGTAAGGAGTGTCGAGCCTTTTCATTTCCGTGGATGTATGATGTATCTTTCTTAATCTCTTGACTCCCCTACCCTTTTCGTGTTTTACCTTAGAATAGCGCCGGGATCTATGTTCCGCATGTAGATATAGCTTGATTTGACGGCGCTGCTTGCTAAAAGACTACCCATGTTTCTGTTTTGTACCTATGATATGCGAATGTCAAGGCTGGTTTCATATCAACCTAAGGTTTACTTGGAATTTGCTAATCGAATTGCCATTCGTAGTTACAACATATCAAGCTACACAAGTTGCGACACAGGTGTATATTCCTTTGGGCAATCTAAACACATACAGATACACTAGAACGCCACGTTGAATCTGGTATCCCAAGACAAAGATACTAAAATGAGAAAATCATTGGAGGCCAAAAGCCGTTTGGGTTAACAAACGGGAAAAGAAATCATAATTTGAGATGCAGTGTGCTGTGTGGTAGCAGAGAAAAGGTAACTATGGCAATCAATCGCAAACACTCATACTAGAATGCGTAAAGATATCAAGTATACAACATACAATTCGGAGATGAGACGTAGAAAGAACAAAGAGATAGGAGGACGAGTCAGCCAAAAAAAATCAGCCAAAAATAAAACTTCATAAAAGGTTCCCTTTCTCTTGAAAAAAATACCCCATATCAACTTCTCCCTCTATTCATCATCCATGTCCAGATCAATGGCGTCGGGGTTGGCTTCGGCAGTAGCCGGAACTTGGCCGGTAGGCGGAGGGCGGTTACCCCCCTCCGGACCGCTGCTGGCAGCCACGAAGCCAACTGGGGCACGAGCTTGACGCTCCAATTCCGCCATGGCGTCTGCGCGTCGTTGGTCCTCGTCGCCTTCGCCTTGTCCGCCTGTCCCAAGTTGCTGTTGGCTCCTTGCAATGGCCTGCGAAGCAATGAAGTTGACGTCGGTACTGTAGATATCGTTAGAAAATGTGTCTTCAGTTTTATGGTGAGGGTTACATACTTGTATTGAGCTTGAACACTTCGCTTGATACGAATCATCTCGCTGAAAGTATCGTCATTTCCGTGGTTAACTTCAAACGATTCCCACTTCTCCCAGAAGGGAGCGTTTGTCCGGGGATCGCAGAATTGAGATGCGTGGCCATAGATTGCGCGAGCACGGTCGATCTCGCCAAGTCGTCGCTCCATCTCGGCGAATTTGAGACACATTTCTTTGGCCTCTTGGTCCGGCAACGCGGCAATGGCGCGCTCGTAGATTGGTCTGGTAGAGGTGAGACCGAAGTTGGAGGCTGACTTGGTGATGTAGAATTCGAACATCTCGAAGCGGTCCTCATCAGACACTGCCCGAGTTGCACGCTCGTAGATCCGCATCGCGTGTCGTGCCAGACCGCGCTCTTCTTCTAAGTTGCCGTACATCAGGTAAAGAGACTTGGCAAACTTGGGAGGACAATCCTCCAAGGCTTGCTCAAACAAGTCTCGGAGTCGCTCAATGCCGATCTGTCGGTCCACGGCCTTGGTCAAGTACAAGTTCCAAAGTTCAAATGCAACTGGATACATGAAAAGATCCAAGCCCCGCTCGTATACCTTGAAAGACTCTTCAAAGTACTTGTTTTCTTCCAAGAGATTGGCATAGTTGACGACAGTTTGGGGTGTGGCGATGCGAAGTTCGAAAATCCGCTCGTAGACCTTTTTGGTCTCATCCAGAGACGAAACACTCTCAACGAGATCAACATAGAAACTCCACAACTTCCAACTTTTGTGGATTCTTTGCTGTGGAGACAGTGTCTCGTCGAAGTAGTCGACCGTCGATTTCTTAGGTGCTTGTGTCGCCTTCGCCATAATATTGACTGCTTTGTCGAAATTCTCAGCGCGGAGCTCCATTTCGGCCCATTCACACCAGGTCTCTGCCAGTTCAGCTACAGACTTGAATGGAACTTTGACAGCCTTGTCGAAAATGACTCTTGCGGTATCCAAGTCCCCGCCATTCTCATAAAGCCTAGCATAATTGACCCAAAGTTCGGAGAATTTACCAAGCGCTTTCTTGGGATTGATTGCAGCAATGGCATCTGTGTAGGTGCGGACAGCTTCTTCCTTGTTATCGCCCCAGAGTGCCACTCTCTTTTCCCATTCGATGACGTTGTGAGGGTTCTGCCGTAGGAGTACATCGTTCACCAAAAATGGTCTGCGGTCCATCAGCTGCTCGAAGCGCAGCATCCGGAGGTCGAGATCAAAGTCCGCATCCTCGTCGGCTTTGCCCTTGTCAGAGCGGGCAGCTGCGCTTTCCATCAAACTTCCAATGACAGACTCCTCAAACTCGACATAGGAGTCGAAGATGAGAGTGAAATCACGAACAGTCATGACAGTAGTGATTCCTTCCTCAAAGACATCCCGCGCCTTCTCAAAGTTGCCCTTAGTGATCCAGTACGTAGCCAATCCAGCCCACAGCTTGCCTCTCTGGTCCGCAAAGCGCTCGATACCACTTCGGAGAATGGCGTCCACATCAATTCCGACCTGAGGGCCGGTCTCAATCTTCTTGGCCTTGGAGACTAGTAGGTCAACCATTTCGGACCATAACTGGAATGGACCCTTGCCATTTTTGGATTTGAATCGCGGGTCGTCGAGGATATCCATGAATTTCTTCACGGCCTCCGTATATTCACCCATTTCAACAAGAAGCTCAATGTAGTCCTCGATGTTCTCGGGGTGGATTTGCATATACCGAGCAAAGATCTTGATGGCGGTCTGCCCGGAAGCGGATCGAGCGAAGCCTTTGTACAGTCTCCAGATTCGGTTGTGCTGTGTGATCGGCAGAGCGCGAAGGGAACGGTCGAAGGTCCGTCGAGTCTGGGTTACCATGGGCTGCTGGAGCAGGAAGGAGAGGTACATTTCCCAGATGCGCGGCATCTTGTTCAGAAGGATGAGGGCTCGTTCGAAGAGTGCGTTCACTTTCTGGTATTCGGCGCGATATACCATGGGATTGCGGCCCTTCAAATGCTTCGTTCGGAACTCCAGATACTAGGGCAAGTCAGTATATGCAGAGCCTTGGCAGTTGTTAAAAAAAAGTCACTTACCATCTTCCAGAGCTTGTAGGAACGCGGTAATTGCTTGCAAGCGCGCTCCATGACCTAATAAAAGCCATTCAATTAGTGGTGATCCTTTGCGACCGGGTTGTGGTGGGTGATGACATACAAATGCTTGCTCATAGAGCGTGCCATTTTGCTGTTTAAATTCGATATAGGCAAGCCATGGCTTGACACTACTAGCGTCGCGAAGCAGATCTTGTTCGTAGATAATGTCTTGATCAGTCTAGCGATGAAATCCAAGTAAGCCTCAAGTTCAACTGGTCCAATGGGTCAAACTTACAATCAAGTAGAGGTCCGGCCGGGACGCAGATGGTCGATCCATCTCTGCGTGCTGCCGGTGGGATCTCGGGGGCAAAAGCGTCCCTGGCATTGCGCCACTCAGTCGAGCGAAATCCAATTACACGATCAACGTGTCAGCATAAAGGAAAATTGCATAAACAAGAGGCTGCTGGCGTGCGCGTTTGAAGCCAAATCTGTTGACGGATGAGGTTCCCACTCTGATTGCATCACGTGATCTATATCAGGTGGGCGGTGGAGCTTTATCGGCGTCATACCAATGTGGCCGCGTTGCTCTAGCTGAACAACAAGGACTATATTGTGACTTTTGTCCTGCTGCAGTCATGTCAGGCGCTGTGGTAAGTTTATGATGGAACTGAGCGCTTATATTGACTTCATCTGACCTCTGTTCAGGGCCGAGAGGCAGTATTTCCAACTCGCCAATCATTGGGGTTGATGAAGAACAAGCTGAAGGGAGCGGAGATTGGCCATAGTTTACTAAAGAGAAAGAGTGAAGCTCTAACAAAGTAAGATTCCTGTACCTTTGTTGCTTCTTAGAGTATACGCTAACCCTCTATCCTGTTCAACAGACGTTTCCGAGGTATGATGCGACACATTCCCGTTCCCCACCTTATCGAGGCGCTAATCATACTTCGACAGACATCACACGCCGCATCGATGAGGCGAAACAAAAGATGGGTCGGGTCATGCAGATTGCTGCTTTCTCGCTGGCCGAAGTGAGCTACGCAGTCGGCGGAGATATCGGCTATCAGATCCAGGAGTCCGCCAAGCAGGCCCGTTTCCGCGTGCGAGCCAAGCAAGAGAATGTTTCCGGTGTTCTTTTACCTACATTCGAAAGCTATACACAGGAGGGCGTCAATGACTTCGGTCTGACCGGTCTAGGAAAGGGAGGACAGCAGATCCAACGCTGCCGTGAGACATATGCACGGGCTGTGGAGACATTGGTGGAACTGGCGAGCTTACAGGTATGCATGATACCTATGCAGTGGATTGGGATATTGCTCACCAACTGTGCCAGACTGCCTTCTTGATTCTGGATGAGGTGATCAAGGTTGTCAACCGAAGAGGTAAGTCATTTACTCATGGATTGTGCTTATGGCTGGTAACTAACATGCGTGATATAGTAAATGCGATGTAAGATCAGAACTCTTGAATTCGGTCCCTGCTCGGTATACTAACATATTTTCAACAGTGAGCATGTTATCATTCCTCGAACCGAGAACACTATCAAATGTTTGTACCGCCTACTTCGAGTGTCCATTGTATATGCTAACCCTTCCGAAGACATCAACTCCGAACTCGACGAGCTCGACCGAGAGGAATTCTACCGCCTGAAGAAGGTTTCAGGCAAGAAGCAGAGAGATGTTGCTGCCGCGGATGCTGAGATCCTCGCAGCCCGGCAAAAGGCAGCAGCAGAGCAAGCAGAGCAAGCCGAAGCCCCCAAGGTACCTTCTGCTACTGCTACCTTAGTGCAAGAAGAAGAGCCGGCAGATGTTCTGGGCGAGCAGGAAGACAACGATGTCATTTTCTAGACTGCTATTTTGTTTCGTATTGATACACTTTTCTTGTTAGCACCCTCTTTTTTGGCCGTCACATTACCACTTTGTATGCTCATATTTGGTTTAGCCATGTGGCTCGTTTCATCTACTTCGGGAAATATTGAACTTCATGTAATACGCAATCTTGATGCATTGCGACAGTCATAGAACGGTGATAAAGCTCTCCGTATTGCTAACACAAATGTACTTGAGATAAGACCATCCGAAACGCCAGAAAGAACGAGAACCGGGATATTTTGTAGGATGCAATGAACCACCCACGACTACTGTCGCTGGTAAGTAACGCGGATCGCCTTGCCCTGGTCGCCCATGGGCATGCCCGAGGTAGCCTCCTTTGCGCTGATAGCTCCAGCTTCAGTCTCGTACTCCACGAATGCAATTCCCTTACGCCCTGGTACCAACCTGACTTCCTGGAATCCCTCAAACCGGCCAAAGGTAGCAGACAGATCTTCTTGGGTCGCATCCTCGGGGAGGTCCCGCAAGAACAGAATCTTATTGGGTGGTAGATACTCGTCCGGAATGACAGCGGTCGTAGGAGCGGCAGTGGGCTTGAGACCAGCACCCTTGGTGGTCTTGGCTGGGCGTGCGGCATCGACGGGTGCGGCAGGACGCTTGAGTTTCTTCTGTGCTTCGAGGGCCTCGTGGGCTTGCTTGCGCTCTGTAAAACAACCATTGTTAGCATAAATTAAGTCTTTGCATATAGCGTGCCAGTATCTGTTCAGCGTACCTTTCTCAGCTAGGCGTCTCCGCTTGTGAGCTTCAAACTCGTCACTGCCGCCCTCCCGCTTGACTGTTGCATCACTGCGTGTCTTAGCGTAATCCAACACCATAGGCTTCTCAAAGAGCTCGAAGCCATTGATATCCTCAATAGCGCGGGTAGCAGAGTCGACGTTGTCAAAGACGATAAAGGCTTGGCCTTTAGCTTTGAGGTTGGTCTTTGCGACGACCTCTAGGATAGTGCCATATTCGGAGAAGATCTCCTCCAGGGCCTGCTTCAACTGGTCAATCTTGATTCGTTCGTTTAAATTCTTAACCTAATCAGTGCAAAGGAATTCGTCAGTACGGTAATGCGGGAGCGGAGTGGTGTTATGATAGAGGGGGAGGGACAAGCGTACATAAACTCTGTAAGGACTTGTTAGCATGTTGATCAATTATTCAGATATAGTTTGTACTCACGTCGCATTTGGAGGAATGCCAGCTGCGGAGACGGCTGCCATGTTTGCGACTGTTGGAGCTCTAGAGACCGGGCGAGCTCGAGCTTCTGGATGATTGTGGAGCTCTAGAGATCGGACGAGGTCGAGCTTCTGGATGACTGGAGGCGGAGGAAAGAGGAAATGAAATTGGGGATAGTTTTGAGCTATAATGCCTAATAATGTGCCATATTACATGAACTAGCATCATTGGTCTAGTGGTAGAATTCGTCGTTGCCATCGACGAGGCCCGTGTTCGATTCACGGATGATGCACTTCTTTTTTTTATTTTTTTATTTTTTATATCTTTTTTCATTTTCTTCTCTTCCTTGATTTTTTTTTTATAAATATTCCTAATCGAGTTAAAATTACTCTATAACATAATTATTATGATTCCACTCTAATTTATTCAAATTTTGACAGGTATACTCCGTACGGAGTATCTTTAATTACCTATGTAGATCCCCCGGCCCGTTCTGAAACCTCGGGAAGTGACTGAGTGCACATGGGCCGAATGGAGGGTTTAGAAGACTTGCACGGGTAAGATAAGAAATTCTTGGCGGGTGCCTTACTCACACCCTACATATGAGACCTACATGAGACCTCAAACACCCCCTTGTCAAAAGTTCTGCAGAGTTGTACCTCTTAAATCCCTCAATATGTCTATGTATTCCCCTAGAAGCTAGCTGCCCACCTGGGCATCCCCAACAAAATGCATCTCACAACACTACTATCTCTCGCCGCTCTCACGAGTATAAGCACAGCCAACACACCAGGCTGCGGCAAAGACATACCTGCCAAGTTCCCAGAAGCAGGATCAAGCGAGAGCCTTACCCTCCCAAACTCAGACCGGCGATACAGATTGTACATCCCGGCCAACTATGACAAGAACAAGCCAACACCGGTATACTTCTCCTTCCATGGAGCGTCGCGCAACATGCTAGATCAAGAGCAACTATCCCAATTCTCAAACCCCGAATTCAACCCCGACGGAATTGCCGTCTACCCAGACAGCAAAAATGGGTTCTGGCTGTCCAACCCGTATGCAAAGACGTCGCGTCCCAACGATCTAGACTTCACCAATGATCTGCTCACGCACGTGGAAGAGTCCCTCTGCGTCGACACAAGCAAAGTGTACGCGACAGGAAAGTCGAATGGCGGTGGTTTCACTGGCGTCATTGCCTGTAACGCGACTGTTGGAAGCCGGTTTGCGGCCTTTGCGGCTGTCAGCGGCGCCTGGTATAATACAGACGATATTCCGGGTGTGGGGCCGTGTGCCCCCGCTAAGCGGGACGGGGGATATCCTTTCTTGGAGATCCATGGCACTGTGGATACGACGGCGCCTATCGATGGTGACGATGAGGATATTCCCAAGCTGGCTGTCATTGATGTTCTTCAGGGTTGGGCGGCTCGAAATGGATGCGGGGACCATGCCAAGTGGACTACGAATGAGACTATCTTCGAAAAGCCGCCTGTGAATCATGCTTCTTGGGACTGTGACGGGAAGAAAGGTATTGTTCAGCATTATCGCGAGGCTAAAAATGGCCATTGCTGGCCAAGCACCGTTGGCAATGATGACTATGACCGACTTGCCGCACAGTGTCCCTTGGGCAAGTCGGAGTTCAATGCTACTCAGTACATCTTTGACTTCTTCAAGGGGGATCACTCGGACATGCCTAGCACAACAAGTACTGGCGCACCAGGTCCCACTAGTACTAATGGCACATTCCATGGGAACCACAGCCCAAAGATTTTACACCCCATGTCCATCCATGCTTTGTATCTTATCTTTGCAGCTGTTCTTATCAATTCGATGCATCTGTAAGTCCTATGGAATTTCCATAGGACTACTGTCTAGCCTTCCAGAGACAAAGTGACTTTCAAATTATCCACCTGGGGCTTCAGCTGTTTAGGCGGAGCAGACCAGTCTTCGTACTTGACAATCTCAGAGTCTGTCACAACGAACAGGTATTCTGCAGCACTTGATCGGACCTAAGAAAAACTGTCAGTGACGTAAATCGAATGGATTTGAGGTCGGACCTACCCTTGGGAAAGGATGCAAAAGCAGTCCGGTTATCTTCTTCAGAACACCGTCTCGTAGCGAGTTAACCCTTGATAATGCAGCATACACTTTGACTGCAGCTTCCAATCGAGCTATATTTGCCGATCTGAAATGAGCTTTCTGGACTAGCGTGAACAGCTTTCGGAAACTAGAGAGAAGAAATACGTTAGTGGATGATCAAGGTATATAAGTAACAGAAGACGAGTTCACAAACCTTGGATCCGAGGCTTCCGGGATAGTAGGAATATAACTGTCAATTAAAAATGCAACAAACTCGACAGCAGGAATGGCAAAACGGTCATCTTGAAGGTTGTCACCCAGTATCGTAGAAAGATCCTGCAAGAAGACCATCAATATCTCCTGGCGTCGGGCCTGGGTCTGGGAATTGAGGAACTGAGTCAGAGCCGAGCGAGATGCTCGGACGAGACCTTCTGCTCCTGAGATAGCAGAGGTGGCAAGTCCTTGTAACAAAGGAAGACGAAGCCAATCTATATCTTGCAGAGTAAGTAGCTGGGCGAAGTATTCTTGAGACGAAACATGACTGAAGTGCTCGAATTCTCTGTTTCTGTTAGCATCCGTCTCAAAAAGTTTGCTTTATTGGTAATTGATTACCTTTCAAGTGGAGGTAGATCACCAGCTGATTCCCAGAAGTCTTGTAAAGAAAGCCATGCTTGTAGTCTGACTTTGTCGAGCTTTTCACATGCAAGGCGGCAAAGACATCCGACCAAATTTTGAATAAGTGGTGAGCGTGATGTTGAGTCTACTTGCTTCTGAAGCAAGATGCCGACTGCTTGAATTGCCTCAACTCGAATAAGAGATCCAACGTCACCCCGTCTATCAGTGGTATAATCATTCAAGAATTCGACGAACTTGCTCGCAATTGTGTCGGTGTTAGCTAATTTGTTAGCCCATATTCTTACTAGCCAGTAAACGAGACATATTCAACATACCTATATATGGTAAGACACTGGTGGCCAAGCACTTCACAGCAGCAACCCGTTTCTCTATGAGTTCCTCCTTTCCGGTGTAACGGAGAATCTCAGTGACGATGTCTTCTTGAACATTACTTTGTGCTCTGAGTTGTTTGAACACTGTACCGAGCGCTAGAATTTGACCGCGACCTGTCGGCATTCTCCATGAAGCGCGGAGATGAGAGAACCAAGTATGAACCGTTTCTTCCTGCTTTGATGGCGATAGGAGAGGAAACAGCTGCGCCAAGGCGGTTGAAGATGTCTCAACCGAGATATCATCATTTCGAGAAACGCAGAGGGACAGAATTTGGAGTGCTCGGTTCAGAAGTGGCTCTGAAGGCTGAGCTAGGTCTATTGTGATGGTAGACCGAGAGAGCGAGGAGATTAAGCAAGATGATGCCTCTGCTGTCAACTCGGGGCGTGAAGTCTGGAAGGTCAAGTCATCATCGGTAGGGCTTGATGGAGAACCAAAAATATCCCAGATATTGGCTACTTGAGAGGAAACAGCCCTAGCTTCTGGGGTGTTCCTATTCTCTGCTGATGATTCCCACTGGGAAGTAAAAGCATCGATTGTGGCAGCAATAGACAACAGACAGCCATGTCGTGATTCCACATCATTCCGAGATATGCTAGAGAACTTTTGCAGCAATTTATCCAGGACCAGATTCATGGTTTTGAATACCTCCTGTGTACTCAAAGTTCCAATAGACTTAGCAGCATGTCGTCTGGACTCGGCATCTGGAGAACCAATACCTCTCCAACCCATCAAGGCGTCCAGAAGTGGACTCCAATAAATTTGATCCAGAGATGCCGTTGCTTTGGCTACTTCAATAAGTGCGCGAGAACGTCGTGCAACGGCATGGTAATCCACAACCTGCACAAGGGGAATGCCCTGCGCGATGGTATTGGGGTGACGACCAATCAACTCCTGTAGCGCAGCAGACGACCCGCGTCGGATGTTCCCAGATGGATCGATACAGGCAGCACAGATGAGTTCCACAGCCAGCTTCTGCGGGACATCGACCTCTCTCTGGCCAGATTGTGATGCCACTACCTGGGGTTGCAGCGCCATGAGTTCTCGTGTTGTATACTTTCGAGACATGGCCCAAATACCGAAACATGCTGCATCTCGTACACCGGTTCCCACAGAGCCACCAGTGGAAGACCTTTGCTCGAAACCCAACCCAGATACAAGTGATTGAAGGATCTCTGGGAGTTGGTGAATAGGAGGTGCCCGGCGGAAAAGTAAATGTGACAGTGTCAGTATTAATCCTTGCCATCGCTGGGCATCGACTGCACTGAGATTACGTTTAAGAGTGTGTGTGCCAATCTGCTTCGCTTCTGATGAAGTCATGACGGTGCCATCTTCTTTTTCAAAGAGAATGTTCTCTCCCAGCGCGTCAATGACCGCTTCGATGACCTCAGCCGCCATCTCTGAGTCCAATTTCAATGTGATGATGCTGAGTGCTTTACTCGCGGCAAATCGCACGGGTGTATCTTTGTCGGCCAACGAGACCAAGAAATGATCGATTGCATCTTCCAGAATTGTCGATAGCTGATCATCCGTGATGCGGCCATCACCTCGCTCATTCAAAGGTAAGGCCATGACTGTGATATTGCGAAGGATCTTGACGACAATCTTTCTGGCCAATGCCGAAGATTGGATTGTCACAGATACTGAGGACTTCCCTTGAAATACACCGAGAGTCTGCTGGAAGACATAATTGATCAGGGGAGCAAAGTCCTCTACCTGGCCCGATGCGCTCAAGCGAGCAATGAATGTGAGGACACCAATACAAGAATAGACAGATGGCGAGTCGTCATTATCTGTCGGGTGGATTATAGAAAATGCCCACTTGGTCAGACCTGTAAGCATGCCGAGAGCTTGCATATCTCCACGCAAAGCTAATCGTGCCAAAAGCGCTGTCGCTGCCTCGCGTTCTTTGCCCGACGCACCGATATAATGCAATGACAAGGAAAGAACCGACCTCGCCACCATAGGAGTCTCAGACGGTAGCCAATTCAACTGTTGCAGGTTGTCATAGGGTACCGGAATGTTATCATCAGATAAAGAAGACAAGTCAAAAGGAGCAAGCAGAAGATGTGAAAGCCAAACCAGCATCACATAGCGTTCTTCCCAAATGAGGCGCTGAGGTACAGATTCAACAAGTTCTTCAGAATTAGATGGCCGGACTGCATCCCATTCGATAAATGCCCGAATCATGGAATCAAGATATTTTGGCTCATTGTTTAAGAACCTGGTAATCACCTTGACGCCACGGACTTTGCAGAAAGTGTAAAGTAACCTGCAGATTGCTCTTGGTAGGGGATACTGATTTCCAGCCTGGGATGACTTCGCGGAAACAGAGCCATACTGGGTGCGGTGCTTGATCAGATATGCTAGAAAAGCGTCTACTAATGGAGGCAGCAACGTCTGCAAATGTGGATCCAAGAGTTGAGGCCACTCTTGAAAGGGTTCAAGCTGCAGATATTGTCAGTAAATAAGAACATAAAGATAATCAAAAGAGAACTATGCGGTCTTACAAGGCTGACAAGCGTCTCTGTTTTGGTGACCTGCGCCCATTTACGTGGGGTGCGGAGGGAAGTCCCAGTTTGGGCTCTCCACAATAGCGAGGGTAGCTTTGCCGAAAACTCAGACACCAAATCTCCAGAGGCTCGCTGAAGCTTTACGTCTCGATCCTCGGCGGCATCCATGGTGGAATGCTGGGTGATGTGCGTCTTGAAGATTGCGGTGTTGGGAATAGCGTCAACAGCGGGACCGGTCATGTGACGCCTAAGTATATAAAAGAAATATTTACGATTCCCTTCATACGAGTTCTGTAAATTTACAAGCAAGAAAGAGAAAGGTATGTATTCTATATTCGTGCATGATATGATATATTTCATAGCTTTTGAAGTTATCCCCGTCGATGGCTCAACCTTTGAAAGCTGCTGATCACATCCGCTCTACCGCTTCACGGGACACCTTGGCCCAGTCCACCATTTTCCAAAAATAAAAGCCCTCGATCGACACAATAATTGACTGGCCGATAAGGATTCCACACCATAGTCCGAAAACACTCCAATCCAAGCCAAATGCGAAAGCAATGCCCAAGGGTAATCCCACGAGGTAATAGATCGAGAGCTGAACATAGCTACCAAGATCCGGTCGTCCCACAGCACGCAGCAAGCTATTGAGGGAAGTGGCCACTGCGTCTGGGATCTGAAGGACAGCACCCAATGGCAGCAAGAAGAAGATCAAATGCCAGACCTCGCCGATATCACTAAACAAGCCAGGAATGACTCCCCGAAGAGCAAGAATCACAAGCATATTTGTGATACCAGCACCGAATGAAGCAAGAACCATAACCTTGGCTGCTGTTGCGGCACGCTGGAGGAAGCCAGCTCCGATCAGATAGGCAATGTGAGTGCCACCAGCAACAGCGATGGAAAACGAAATTTGGAATGCAAAGTCCGAAAGTGTCGAGATAGCGGCCTGGGCTGCGAGCTCGGTCGCGCCTAGACGAGACGAAATGAGAGTCATGAGTTCCCATGCGAGGACCTCGGCTTCAATCATTAGCCAGCTCGGAATGGCAAGCTGCAACATTGGACCCCAGCCGCGCCACATCTCGACAGAAACGGGGTGCCAGCATTCAGAACCCTTGATGAAAATGACGTAGATGGCCAGGAAAACTGGCAAAAGACTATTTGACATCGCAACGGCGATAGGCGCACCGATGAAGCCCCATTGCAGTTTCTGGAAAAGAAGGTATATCAGTGAATGGCTCAGGGGGGATTAGGTTGTATAACATACCCAAACAAATAACCAGCCCATGAAAATATTCAAAGTAGAACATATCAACAGGACTACCAGACTAGCACTGAACAATCCCTGTGCCTGGAAAAACCGCTTTCCAGACTCAAAACAAGCATAACCTGGAGCGCCCGCAATGGCAATTTTCAGATACAGACCCGCGAGAAGGGCCGTCTCGTGAGATTCAGACGGTAGAATGAGGAGAAATATTCGATCCGTATTCCACCATATTGCTCCAATTGGGATCGTGAGGACGAGCATGAAAAGTGTCAGTCTTTGAACGTGAAGCCCGACCAAGGTCGGATTCCCTGAACCATATGCTTGAGGACATAAAGTATCCAAGCATGTTGCTAATCCTTGGAAGACGAAATACCCAGTGATCTGGGCAGTCATGTTGGCCAAGCTCACTGCCCCGATTTCTCGCTTCCCCAGATGGCCCACCATGAAGATGCTAGAACCGGTCAATGCATGTTGAAGTAGGAGCGATATCATGAGAGGGGCTGAGTATCGCGAAATAAATGCTAATTCTCTTCGCCATCCTGACTTTTTGGAACTGTTCGCTGCTTCTGGGTCGATGTCGCGCAGCAAAGGTGAGGATTCTGTGGCTCCATGTTCGGAGATCATCGTGTAAAAATTTTTTGGGGACGGTTAGGAGCTCTCCAGATTCCCAACAACACACCAGTTGACTGTATTCTTTAAATTGAGTTCATTGAAATACAACAGGGATGTTTCAAAGATTTCAAAAAGCAGAGGGGGAGAACAAGCATTCAGTAAAAGTGGAGATCTGACAATCACATCAATCCTTGCATTGGTCGCGACAATTTCATTAGAGCATTTATATTGCGTGGACCTATTATCGAAATTTCTACGTATAGGAAGTTATAGTATGTCGATTATGAAGTATACTGCTTGTATATGGCCAAAATTCATACGCTAAATTGCTATCAAACTAGCCAAAAATTACTTATATATATCGTGCTAAAGACATGCATATCAACATTGGGATGATTACGAGCGTATCACGTTTGAAGAAATGGAACTTAGGCTCTCGATTTGGGGTGACTGGAGGAATAACCCCTTGGGGATATTGCTTTCCTCCGTTTATTTAATATGTAGATTCCTTGAGTTCTTGTTGTGACATGTATAAAAGTTAGCGCAAAGCATCTCCAAGATCTCGGGGTAACACCCTGTGGTGAAAATTAACGATCAAGATCCAGGGAATCCACAGCAGAGTCATCAGAAGTCGAGGCCACAAACTTGTCACCGTAAGCCTTTGCGAGCTTGCTCACGGTCCTTCTAATGTGCATAACGATGATCGCAACAGCTAGGGTGTTCCAGACATCATTATCAAAATCCGCAAGATCGAAATGACCAAGGAACTTGAGTCCTTGTGTTAACGTTTGCGGATTGGGATTGGTGTCCAGGGAGATGACAGAAAGAACAGGTCCACAGAGAACGAGCCCGATCAGTGCAGGCCAAGCTTCTTCACCATCGGGTGCAGTGAGTTGGCTCTGCCAGCTATCTGACAGCTTCGTTAATGTTGTGGCAACTTTGTCAAATGCTTCTTTTGACATTTCGTCCTCACGTTTGCAATATATGACATGCACGGGGGTTGTGTCCGGCTTGATTCTGACGCCAGCATCGCTCAATGCCCAGCGCAGGTATTTCTCTGTTGACTTCTTGATATAGATTCCAGGATCTATATCAAGGATATTGCAGTAGTCCCTCACGTTGCCACATATCTTTAAAAGTTCTTGAAAGGCACGAATCGCGTAAAATTCCGAGCACTTATCGTTTCCAAGGACGAAATTAAATTCGTTACGTTTAGCTTCGTCCTCTACCCCAGAAAAGAACAACGACTCAGGAAGGGTAGAGAAATCTTTCTCCCAGTGTCTATGGATGGTTGGCATGCAGCCACGAGTTAGGAGTTGATGGGCAGTCCGCTGCTCGTCTGGTGATAGGTCATGGCCTTGAGGTAGTTCCACCGCGTCAAGTAGGCGCTTTGCCCGTTCTCGTGTCAGCCTATTGTTTAAAAGCTCCTCGCGCTCTCCTGTCGGAATGAAGTACTCTTCGTCGCTCTCGTTGTCGAGGTCACTTGGTTCAGACATTGACCTATCCGAGTCTGATTTCCTCCTCTTCCTGGCCTTCTTGGCTTTGGGCTTAACCGAACGGCTTTTCTTGGCCGAGAGAGGCAAGGAAGCCCTCTTCGCTCGCTGCGCGCATGGGGAGGTAGGAGAGTCGCTGATATCGCTGTCATCGCTTGAATTAGGAATTTTGTACTCGGGCGAGGTGGGAGGATCTGAATCCCATTTCTCGTCCTCACTGACGGTATCCTCGGGCTCGCATTTTGTCGTAGGGCCTTCCGGCTCGACCTTAACCCGCTTAGCCAGGTGCTCAGGCTCTGTGTCATCGGCGGGGAAGGCTCGTTTTGGGACCAAGGTCGCCTGGTATGGAAGTCAGTAAGATGCAAGTAGGGACTGTAACTAAGGTCAAAGTGATATAACCAGCCATGATGAAGACAAACTTACCATCGCACCCTGTTCAATCTGGGAAATTGTGTCAGATATAGTGTACAGTGTTGAGGAGCTTGTCAGCTCGGTGGGATGGTCGAGGATTGTAGCTGCAACCGCCGGTTGTGGCAGGACCGTGGCAGGAGAGGTAGGAGGTAGCTTGATGATAGTGTTTGGTTCGTAGTGAGGAATGTAGTAAGATGCGCAAAAAGTCCACTTGGTCTTTTCCTCACATGGAAAGCCTTGAATCTCGAGGTCGTTATCCCCAGTTGCGTTAAACCAAGACTGAGGTGATCTCGATTCCGAACTTTCGGAAAGGTTGACGTGGAAGTTGATATTATGGACTTGAAAATGCACCCTGTTGATGGGTGTCCCATCAACAGGGTAGGCCAGGTTCTTGAGCTATCTCTTGATGGGACGGAAGCTGGCGGTTGGCTCACCTTTGGAGTGGACTGGGTTGTGTGTTCTTTGTTGCCCGAGGGCGAGGATTCTTTGTTTCCCGAGGGCAGGTTCTCTTTGTTGCCTAAAGGCACGGTCTCGGCAGATTTAATCAAGGCTTGAAATCCTCGACGAAATAGAGATTTGATTTTTGGCAGCATCTTTGAAATATGCCTCGGTAGCTTGATCTATTTCAGGAACAAAGAAAAGAGGCTGGACAGAGTTAAGAAAGTGATGAACTTGAAAAAAAAAAGAGAAGACGAAAATAAAAGAAACGTGTCGATGCTTTCCAAATTGCAAAGCACATGATGGTTGGCTTCCTATTTAGGAACGACGTAAGGGAACCCGTTTGATACTACAGTGCCCAACTACAAAATAGACAGATGGGATCAGTTCGTATTTGTATCTTCTCTCCCACGAACTAGAACATAATAACGGACATAATGCGCACAAATCCCTGAAGGGACCTACGCTATCTTCATAGATCTTCAGACTTCGTCATTTCTCATCAAACCCTCTTAACACGCAATTCCCATATAGGAACCCGTCCCCTCTCATTTTTTTGGACATCAAATGCCCGACATAGAATAGAGTCATAAACCCGACCAGTCGGAAGGAAAAACTTGGACAAAAAAAAAGAACTCGGAAGGGGAAAAAATAGAGCAAGCAATTTAGATAAGCACACAAAGAAATCGAGAAAGCAAAAGCAAACGGGAGGTTTCATTCACCATGGTATCCGGCGAAGCATGTCAGTGAGGTCCGGTCCACACCGGCACTTAAAACGAAACTGCGATTGGGTATGTTGAAGCAATTTGAAGAGCATGAGGTGCTGGGGCGGGAGACCCGCGGCGCGCTGAAGAAACCGGACGTATCGGCATTAAACCCCCTGTGAACTGAATTGACACCCTCGTCAACAACTCGTGACTGGTGTCCAAGCAAGCAATAAGTGTCCCGATCATAGTGGAATCAAGCGAAATCGGCGGTATAAGAGAATCCACGGAATTCTTCCTGCATGGCTTGCGAAAGCACTAAAGGGGATTGGTTAGTGACAGTTCATCTTCCAGCACAAAAAAAAAGCTAAAAAGATCTTACCAGATTGTACAGGCGTCAGGACTGGAGTCACACTGGTGAACTCCTGGTCGAAGTTGCTTGTATCCGTAGGACTGCTGATTGTGGGGATGAATGGCGGGGGGACCCGCTTGTGATAGATGTCATCCCAGTTGATGTTGCGGAAGAAGGCATGAGACATCACTTCTTGGGCATCGGTGGGACCAGAGCCCAGACGCAACTCGGGCTCACGAGTCAACAGCTTCTGGAGAATCGACACGGAGTCACGAGGCATGTGAATAGGGTAGAGAGGCTCATCGGCAAGAATGGCATCGTAGATTTCATCCTCATCTTCACCACGGAATGGAGACTGTTGCAAAAGCATTTGGTAGATGAGAACACCGAAAGCCCACCAATCCACAGCCCGTCCATACTTCTTGTCAAGCAAAATCTATAAGAAAGTCAACTCATCCGTACTTCAATAAAGTACAATCAAACTTGATCCCACTTACTTCTGGGCCCATGAATTCAGGAGTACCGCAGAACGTGCTAGTTGTGCCACCATACCACATGTTCTCCTTGCAAAGACCATAATCAGCAATTTTGATGTGACCATCCAGGGTCAGCAAAATGTTATCGAGCTTCAAGTCACGGTAGATGACACCGTTCTCGTGGAAGTATTTGAGTGCCAAGCAGACCTCGGCGGCGTAGAATCTAAAACATGTGAGCATTTTCAACCCCCTAACCCGTCAAAGACTAAGCATAGGACTTACTGTGCCCTCTTCAGGCCGAATTGGCCACGCTGAATGTGCAGCATGAGATCACCGCCACTGATGTACTCCATGACGAAATAGACACGAGTTTCGGTTTGGAAACATGCGTGCAAGTTGAGAAGGAATGGGTGACGTTCCTTGTTTGCGATGAGGAAAACACGCTTTTCGGACTTGGTGCTTTCCACTTCATCGTTCTCGATAATGAATTCCTTCTTCAACACCTTGATGGCATACAACTTGCGGGAACTCTTTGTTTCAGCCAACATAACCTTTCCGAAATTACCTTTTCCAAGAACAGCAAGGAAATTGAAGTGATCCAATCCGATGCGAGTCTTTGCTTGCCCTGCAGTGTCATCCTTGACAGGGGGTGCAACTTGCTGTTGCGGGGGCATCTGTTGTTGTACAGGTTGTGGAGGCGGTGCCATTGGATAAGGTGCGGGCTGCGCCTTCTGCATAGCCTGGGGTGGTGGCTGGTGCGGGAAATTGGCATAAGCGGATGGGTCATAATGGGCGTGTTGAGGCTGCGGAGCTGCCTGGGGTGGCGGCATAGGACGGCCCATATCGGCTAAGAATAATTAGTACCTATACTCTCTATTCAATGCATGATCTCAAATTGCATACCTGGGGCTTGCTGGGGATTACGTAGCCCGGTAGCTGCGGCGGCGGCTGCGGCGGCGGTGGCAGGTCCGGTGGGCGATTTCGGTGGCATCTGTTGGCGCTGTGCAGCCTGTGCAGCAGCTGTTGGTGACTGTGGAGTCATGAAGGAGTTAGTGGCAGCGCTTACCGCTTCTGCGGAGGGTTGTCTAGGAATGGCCCCGTAGGGTCCTTCCATCGGCTTCTGGGGGTAGGAGAGGGCAGCATTATCTTGAGCAGGCTGCGGCGGACCGCCTGCTCGAAGGGTGCGGTTGCTGAGGCCAGAACTAACAGAGGCAGACTTGTTGTGATGCTTGGTGCGAATCAATGTCTCTAGAATTTGGTTGGCGGCTTCCATCGTCATTCCACAGAAATCGGGCACAAGGTGAGTGCATTGAGCGTGACACGTAAGGCCGCATTCTATAAAGGGAGTCAGTATGGACTAGAAAAGAAGCTAGGATGTCAGTAATATGCCTACCAGAGCAGCGCTTCGCATTTTTGCGTCCAAAGGGAAGCAGATAGCCACAGTGGCAACACCAGTTCGCGGAAATGTTGGAGAAGCCTTCGAATCGGTGGGGAATGCGGTGGTTGATTTTCTCCTCGTCCGGATCGGTCTCATAGTTGGCTTTGCTGATACACTTGGTGACAACCTTGGGGTAACACTTGCGGTGACAGGTGTACTTGCAATCCGCACATTGCATGCCGGCAGCATACTTGAGGAATTCTCCACACAATGCACAGCGCATAATGTTGTAGAACTGCTGGGTGACAAACTTGTGGCCTTGCTTCTCATGAACCTCCTCCTTCTTTTGGCGCACAGCACCTTGACGGTTAAGACCAATGTCAAAGGGACGGCGGTCCTTCAATTGTTTGGCTATATCCAGTTAGCATACGCTCTTCTTGTTTTTGGGTTAATGCGAGTTGGGCTTACCAAAGCTCATTTGCAGCTGAACTCGGCCAACTGGTTCCAGAGCAAACCATGAATCGATCATCACAGTCGGGGGAGCATTTGAGCTCTCGCCACCGTGGTGTCCATGTCCACCATGCCCCGCGGTACCCGGGCGTCCTCCGGGGCTAGGGCCATGTGAAGAGCCCATAGGAGAACCAGCGTGGTCATGTCGAGGGGATCCGCCTTCACCCATCTTATCTGCGGATACCCAGCCCGACGCGTTGAGCTCGGTCTCAATTTTCTTGCGACGCATCTCTTCTGCGATGTCAGAGATACGCACCCAAAGCATACCGATTGGTACTGGGCGATCTCCCGACTTGTCATAAACAGTTAATTCGATCTCGTTTGCCTTATCGATATCCATGGAAAAGCCTTCGTCTAGCCATTTATCATTTCGTGTGGCCTTGGTTCTTGCTTTGATCGTGTCTTCAACCTTGACGACAATGTATGTCTCTGGTCCTCGAGAAAATCGCGAGCCGGCCGCATGGTCCACGTCCTTGACTGCATGGATTCGCATTGTCAGCAGACCCGTCAGCGGCTTGCGCATATTTGGGCTACTAAGACTCTCATCTGCACACCAGTTAGTAACCATGTAAGATTATGGTCGCAGCAAATTGTTATGATGTTCATACCGTCTGGTGCATCGGAGGACTCAATATCCACATGAAGATCCTCATATCGCTTCAGAGCCTGCTTTAGAAGCTGAATCTTTTGATTACTCTCAATACGACGACCTTCGGCATCAGCTCGACTCTTCCGGTCGCCCTCATCCTGGTACAGGCGGACCATCTTTTCGATACCGGCTTTATATTGCATTTCCACACTCAGCTTGAACTCCAATTGAGACAGCATGAGTTGAATCTTCGGCCCGAGGTACGGAGTGTCATATTTAATCAGATCTGAGACATAGCAATTTATGTTAGCATTCCAGGCGATTTAAGCTCAGCGCAGCATTTTTCGAGAGGTTTGACAGGAGCGGTATACAAGAACGTACCTAGCTTCGTGTAATTGGGCCTCGCCTTTGGGATCGGAGCGTAAGGTCGGGGATCGGCGAATGGGGCACCGGATGGCATCGAGCCGGAGCCACCTTGGGGGTAGTGACCATCGCCGTGCTCATGGTCTTTGGGCGGGGGAGCTGGGCCTCCATGCTGACCGGGTGAACCTCCTTCTTGATTCATCTGACGGATTTGCAATTCTCGCATTTTCTCCTCCAGGTAAGCGATATTTTTGCGGCCATCGCGAATGTTGGCATCGACTCTTTGTTGCACGAGGGGGTTGTCGGTCGACTGCCGCATGTTAGTGGCAGCGGTGATGAGGGCCTTCTCCCGCTCGATCTTGCGGAAGACCGAGGCGATCAACTCGTCCCCATCCATGATGGCAGGTCTGACGAGGGCAAAGAGCAAGGCTGGCTCAAAATTCAAGGGTGCGCTTGCGCCAGGTCAAGGTGGGTTGTTAGTGGGAGAGGATTCGCGGGGCTGTTGTTGACAAGGGGCGCAACGGGTGCGGGTAATGCCACTTCGGAAAATGTGAGACAGACTGCCCGCGATGATCGCCCAGTCAATTCACAGCCGAAATTGAATTGATAAAAACCTGGGGAAAAGCGGGAAAAAAACTAGAATAAACCAGAATAAAGGATCAAAGTAATTAAAAAGAAATAGAACCGAATTTAAAAGAATTATATGGGAAGAAGTCCAGGTAGTTACTGTCTGTACTACCACGCACCTCCCGATAAGGAAGTGGCGAACGTTGAATGGCCCTTATTAACAGGTTTCTAACATGTGAATATTGAATCTTCTATATATCTCTATGTTTATGTATCTAATGATACCTGCTTATATCTATGTATATCCGTTGGGCTACTACACCATATTGTATTACTCTTGGCATATTCAGTGCCATCCTATCCGAACATTTTGAGAGTTTAAGGACTTCTGTCGCGTGTACATCGACAACATCATCGTCGGCTCCAATACATTTGAGGAGCACGTCCAACATCTAGCCCTCCTACTAGAAAAGCTGGTCGACTACAATATCAAACTCGAACCCAAGAAATCATACGTCGGCTTCCCCTCCGTCACACTCCTTAGCCAGCGTCTTGACTCCCTCGGTATAACAACTCTGGACGAGAAGCTTAAGGCAGTCTTGTCCCTGGCTTTCCTGAATACGCTTAAGCAGCTAGAGACCTACCTCGGACTCACCGGATGTATCCGAAGGTATGTTCTCCATTACGCTCAGCTTGCCGCCAGGAACAACGTCCTCAAGAAGGCACCATTTAAGGGACCATTTGAGGGACCATTTGAGGGACCACAGCACAAATCACACGCTTGTAAAACAAACCTGCAGAACCCCACTGCTACCAAAATCATCAGCTTCTGACCGAGGCTTTGGGGTATATGGGACATTGGGCCTCGTTTGTACAAGACGTTATGACCAGCACAAGGGAAATACCTCTCAACTTTCATATATACTAACAGCTACCCGTGCATCTGAAGTTCACCTAGGTAGGCACTTATCCTTGTCGCCGTATCAGAGTCACTTTCATGGTAATTCGGATCCGACTTGGATAGAAGACAAAATCCAACGAACATATCTTGGAGCGACGGACCCTGACAATCATATCCGATGGGCAGTGGTAGGAGGTACGAAAGCTCGCTGGCTTTCTTAACGAATGCAGTGAAGTTATACTTAGTCAAGAAGGCGTATCTGACCCGTGCCATTCGCATTTGGGTTGCAACTTGTCCTAGAAGTAAAAAAGGTCAGCCGGGATTAAGTGACAATATATGTTGGTAGTAAGGGTATACCAATCAAATATCATCCTGTTGAGATAGGTCGATGGCAAAAAAAGGGGGAAAGGGGCTTAATATGTGCAGACGACTTTTGCATGTATAACCTGTGATATCAAATACATATGTTGAAGTAGGGGTGAGATTTGTCTATTTTCCGCTCTAGCCGCCATGTTAGAATCTCAGAGGCACATTTGTCTGAGTTTAAGGTCCCAGATCAAGGATGTATAATACCTCCCTCAAAGTCAGCATACATGTATGGTACGCTGGATTCTTGCTATCGAGAGCTGAAATCCAAAGCGAATTTACATGCAATGCAATAGACCCTCCGTCTTATTCTTCGCTAATAACAACCACATATAAGCAAGCATGGATGATAACCTAACCAATCGTTGTAATAGAGTATGCATGGCGTAATTCATCTTCCTAATCTTAGGCTGGTGTCACTGTTGGTTAATGTTGCGCAGCATTTTGAGAACCCACAAGATGGATTTCCTCGAGTGTATTAATAAATCGCGCAGATATTGTAACGAGAAGTTGGAAAGACCCATTTACTGCATGTTCGGGATGTGGTGTCTATTGGGATACGAAACACATATAATTTCCCCAGGGTGCAATCTAGCCATTTATCATACTGCGCATCCACCACCGCGGGGTTATGTGCTCTCAAAGCGGTTGACCGACCTTCGATGGATCAAATGGCACAATCCCTCTGTCGGCAAATGCATCCTTGATAACCTCGGATTTGAATGATTTCTCACGGATGGAAGGGAAGTTATGGAAGAAGACTGATTTCTCTTCATCGACATCGTCAATCATGAGGCAAAGAAGGCTCGATCTCCAATACCGCTTGTAGTCTTCGAAAGGTTTGCCGTCAAAAGGCTGCAAGAGATGTCCTATATTGGGCGGAAAGCTAAAGGGAATGATCTTGTGTTCCTCGCAAAATTGGAGGAAATTGAAACTCAAATATTGAGGTTGACCCCTGAAGAGCAGGAGCCGAGGCTGACCATCTGCGCGATCTTCGGTCTGGCGATGGAAAGACTCAATCCACTCGCATGCAGCCTTCTCATCCACCCGGCCGCTCGGATTCATCATGAACATAGCGTTCTCGGCAGTTCCGTCATAGGTTAACCACTCATCGAAATAGTGGTCGCCTTGAATAACGGCAAATGGATCGGCTGCCCACCCATCGGCGGCAATACATTCGATCGTGGTTATCCATTCACAGTAGGTTCTATTTAGAGGGGGGAGAGGCGAGTCCCTACGGGTAACGACCAGTCGAGGTTTCTTTCCGAGGCCGATTTGGAATATAGTGTCGTCAAAATTGTAAATATTTTCCGGGGAAACCCCAGCAATCAAAGCCTCCAGACGTCTATACCATTGCTCCAATGTCTCCTGGTCTTCAGCATCGATATGCTTTTTCTTGACGGATCGTACTTTGGATGGCTTTAGGTCATCTGGTAGGCGTTTGATGAAGCGATCAACCCATGCCTTGCTGATAGTGCAGTCGGTCCCGTCGCGGTTTAGAATCTGAGTCGCACTTGTCGTGATAAGGGGTCCCATAGGAAGTGCGAATAGCTCCTTCACCTGCCGAATCCACTGCACTAAGACGTTCTCTTGTACGTCGTTAAGTGTCTTGGGAGCTACGCGAGCTACACCAGCTGAATTCTCTGAGCGAGGTGGAGGTGGAGGCATTTTCGCTAGTTCTTGCACTTGATCAATACGCACGGCAATCTGTCGTTCCAATTCGACAATCTCTTGTTCCAATCTGGCGATTTGCGGCCCATTCAACCGGTGGGCAGCCACGGAGGTCTTGTAGACGCGTCCATTTGAATTGAGATCCCTGGGCATGGTTATTGTACAATACCAAGATGCTTATGAATATGATAAACAAGCCCTGGAGTGTTTATCGACGCGATCTCCCAAGGGCGGTGTGATTGGACTGTTTGGACGTGTAGAAAGCCCTGGGGTTAAATGCGGGAAGGGGAACCTTGGAATCTCCGATAAGATCAAATTATTTCCAGAGAATTTCCTTCCCCTCCAACCCTTGTACTTTCGCTTGTGATCTCTGCATTTTATAATATCTATCATTTTAAACTGAATATTCAAAAATGGGTCCACCTCGCCGAAAGATGCTGGCTACAGCAGAGGGAACCTTGACCCCTCCAGACGAGCTATCTGACACTCAGCAGATCGTGAAAGCAATCAAAGCCACCGGAAACAACATCTACTTGATCGAACAGGCAGACAAGAAGCAGATGCTGGTCGAATTGCCTGCGCGTTTCCGTTCGGCCATCTGGATCAAGCGCAGCTCGTACGTCGTGGTCGACACCAAGGGTCAGGAGGAGCGGGACAATAAAATTGGAGGGGAAATTGTCAACATCGTCAGGGACGAAAAGGCGTGGAGAAAGGCTCCCTTTTGGTATGTGTTATTGATTAAGATTAGTGACTCATTCGCTAATTGGCATTGCTTTCCCACAGGCCTAAGGAATTCGTGAAACAGCAGGTTGTAATGGCGTCCGACTCTGACGACGAGGAAGAGTCGCGTGTGGGCCAAATGCCTTCTTCGGACGAGTCAGAGTGAATGATCGCCGTTCAAGGGCGAGCGTTTGTTTAATGGCAGCCGCTACGGTACACAGGGATTTTGGGCTATCAACGATGATTCTCGAAATATGCAGCCCTCATGGGATTGGGGCTGGGAATGTCTTTCATTTTTGGACAATCGTCTTGCCGCGACTGCTCCCCTTGTCACTCTTCTTATCTACCTCGCTCGAGCCATTGAACAACACGCCAAAGACCTGCACCGCGAGCGACAACACAACAACCGTCGAGCTTGCGTTTGTGCTAGGGAAAACATTCCAAGCCCACTCTTGCAGCGCCCATACAGCATATATAAGAACTGGGTGGATACCTGCGCGCCAGAGAAGAAAAGGGGTAGCCCACGCGAGATACGCGAAAAACTGGTAATGCAAGGACCTGGCGCATAGCAAGCCGATGGCGAGTGAGCTCAGCATCACGGTCATAGTGAAGGATTTTGAGAGCGGAACTGTCTTTTGGCGTCCCTGGAGAGTGTCCTGGAGGAAACGAACCATGTTCGACCCTGAAGGTTTTACCCAGTTTCTGAAGAAGATAGCCAACAAGGATATATGCAGCACTAGCAGACCCACAGAGAACTCCCTTGAGAGGAATGTTTCTTCCCCTACAAACCGCCAGTTCACTGTCCATTTGAACATGAATTGGCGGGATAGCTCAAATGCCCGAGCGAGGTAGCCTATACTATTAGTCTGGAGAAAGGGGACCGCAAGCAGGACCTGTAGTTTCTTGCGTTAGTTGACCCCCATAACTTCATGACCTTGCGAAGAACCCACCTGGATAAGGATAGCCATAGCTCCAAGCGTAACACTTCGCGCCAACCCCAAACTGAGAAGAGTGATGACCGCAATAGCAGGCACAAGCAGCACAAGTGTCATTTTAATCGCAACCCCGAAAGACCACACTGCAATTCCCGCCGTCCAATTGCGTCTCAGACACAGATATATAGCAAGCCACATTGCGAAAGTCGCAACGCCATCATTGAACATACGCAAGACGAATATGCTATGCAGCCGTTTGGACAGAGCAAGGAGCGGGAAAAGGTACGGAGGTGCTCCTGTTTGTCTATAGCAGGCAACTACCACAGCCAGTGTAGCCACATAGAGCACTGCGAAAAGGGCCTGTCCCAGGAGAATATCGCGACCTTCATCGGTAAGATGATAGAGAAGGGTGTAGATGTATACGTGGGCGGCGGGGTAGACGAGGGGACCGGTTGAGCCTTTGATCAGGAGGTAGTCGCGTTCGCCGGAAATATATAGAGAAATTTGCTGCATGTATGTCGTCCAGTCAATCTCAGTATCTGTGGTTGGTTGGTTAGCTGGGTCTGGCTGAGTACGCGACACCTGGACGCGGTCTTACAGGAGATCTTCCATATGATGAGGGCGCAGAGTAGCACGTCGCCTAGAATAAGTAGCGGTGTAATCCATCTTGTATGTCGCGGATTGGTGAGCAGGTCGTAGGCGAAGGTCTTGGCTGTCAATGCCATGGCGAGATACGCTCAATGGTTGACGGGGGGAATATTCGAGGTGACTGGAGCTGGCTCCGCTTAGATGTCATCGACAGTTGCGGTTCAAGGAAACACATTTTGGTCAAGGCAATTGTATGATTTTAGATTCTTTCTAATCTTAATATAATTGGTATTTGTGTTTATACATCTCACTGTACATAGAGAATACATGTAGGCCTGTCTAGCCTTGAACCTCGAACATGGTCTTCTAAACATCCACCGTCCACCCAACCCTTATTTGTCAAAATCCATGGTATCATTAAACAAGCCGAGAAAACAAAAGGCAAAAAATCGAAGGAGTCTATCGTGTAGATGTGCACGCATTATCGGTCTCCTTCAGGCAGGGTGGTTGTCTGGTGCTGGGCATTCGCTCGGAAGCCGAGCAATTCCCCTATAACACCCTTAGGTTTGGGGACAGGGCACTCCCGATTGATGTGAGAGAGCTTCTCTGCCTCCTCCTCCATTTGAAGGAATGTCGAGACCTCCTCATCCACAACGACTGGGGTGGGCTGACCCAGCTGGCTGCCCTCTGAGCCTGCCTCAGAATCCTTCCGCCGTCTGCGTCGGAAGCGTGGTACTTGTTGTCCGTCGGCTGTCATGGTCATCTCCGAATCGGCAAAGGTGCGTCGTGGGGCCGGGCAAGGGAAGACGTGCGGCATGCCGACAACTAGGAGAGATGCGAGGAGGGTGCCGGCGAATAAGCCGGTGGTTGACCGCGACCGAGGGTGTAGATGTGGTGGCATTGTGTATAAAATGAAAGAGAACGAATATTGATGTTCAATTGAGACGAGGTGGGCGTGGCCGACTGTTTCTGCAATTTTTCAGGCCATCGGAGGGCTCGGACTGGGCTGGCTGGTGTAATCGGGAAGAAATAGCAGGCAAGGAGGTCAATTGAATATTCGGCGAGGATTATTCAACTTGACAAGCTTCTGGACCCCCGACGGCAAATCTGAAGGGATAATCAAAGAAATCGTGCGGAGAGAAGACCCGTAGACGGCAGTGAAGGGCTCTGGGTGCATCTAATCTTATCTGGCTCCCGCGTGATTGGATGTTCCGCTTTCTCTCAAGTCTCTGCGTCGCGCATCATAGCTTCGCGAAGATGAGACTGTATTTTTCAAGGGAGAACTGAGCCATCTGATATCTCTTTTGGGGTTTCTAGACTTTAATACAGTCCTCCTTGCCTTCCCCCTCCCTCTTTCGACAAGATGAGTGACCTAGACCGGTATGGCACCGACCCCTCAAGTCTTTGGGCTCCCATCGTCCACCGTCAAACTAACGTTTTATATCTAATAGGGCGATCGAGCAGCTGCGGGCCTGCCGCCTGATCCCCGAGAGCCAAGTCCGCGAACTGTGCTACAAGGCGCGTGAGCTCCTGATCGAAGAAGGCAATGTCGTGTCCGTTGACGCTCCCGTAACCATCTGCGGCGACATCCACGGCCAATTCCACGATTTGATGGAACTATTCCGCGTCGGCGGCGATGTTCCCGATACCAACTACCTTTTCATGGGCGATTTCGTCGACCGTGGCTTCTACTCTCTTGAATCCTTCCTTCTCCTCCTTTGTTTGAAAGTCCGATACCCCGACCGCATCACCTTGATCCGCGGCAATCACGAATCACGCCAAATCACAACAGTATATGGGTTTTACGACGAGTGCATCCGCAAATACGGCAGCGCGAACGTATGGCGGTATTGTTGCGAAGTGTTCGACTACCTAGCCCTGGGCGCGATTGTGCTCGGCGCGAGCTCAGAGCTAGAACCAACCTCCAGTACAGCATTATCGAGCATGCCGATCGATGACAGCGAGCTGGAAACAGAAGTCCTGAATTCCAGAGGTGAGGTCACGATGAGTACCTACCGTGCACGACAGCGTTCGTCTTCCGATGCTTCCACAGATTCTAGAAATATCTCCCCACCGCGAGACATTTCCGCCGCCCCAGGCCAGGCTGCCGCACCCTCACGATCGGGTGCACCGGGGACAGGCGCAAGCGGCGATGGCAACGGTAGCTCCGTGACTAGCCGGACTGGTGCGGTGCTTTGTGTACATGGTGGTTTGTCACCGCTCATTGATTCTGTCGATAAGATTCGACTGATTGACCGTAAGCAAGAGGTGCCCCATGAAGGTGCCATGTGCGATCTACTCTGGTCAGATCCAGATGAGATCGAAGGCTGGGGGTTGAGTCCTCGTGGGGCTGGATTCCTTTTCGGCGGCGATATCGTCAAACAGTTCAACCATCTCAACGGGTTGTCTCTTGTCGCGCGTGCACATCAGCTTGTGATGGAGGGATATAAGGAGATGTTTGATGGCGGTATAGTCACTGTTTGGTCAGCTCCGAACTACTGCTACCGCTGCGGCAACGTTGCAGCTATCCTTGAGCTGGGTGAAGACGCCAGTGGCGGTGGCACTGTTGCTCGTAGTAATGGCGAATTTGGTCGGAGCAACGGCGTCGTCACAAATAATAGAGTCGTCAGTCCTGGAAGGAGATACCGTGTCTTTGAGGCTGCAGCGCAGGACACAAGGGGCATGCCTGCGAAGAAGCCTGTCGCTGATTATTTCTTGGTAAGCTCTTCTTTCTTTTTGGTAGTCTTGACTCAGATCATTTTCTAATATCCATGCCTAGTGATACCATCCCATACACACGTTTTTCTTTCTTTCTTTTTCCCTTGGAAGTAGCATTTTGCGCCTTGGTGTTGGTTTGAGTAATGATCATCTATGACAAATTTTTTGATTCTTGCACCTCTAAATGTCTTTGTCTGTAAATTGATCATAAGAGTTTGAAACATAGAACCCAAGTTTGTAGATGGCATGTCCATATGTGAACGCTGGGACAAAGAAAAAAAACCCCCCTAAAGTGGTATCAAAAATCGGATGAGATATATATGTACCCATGAGTCAAACATCACAAATTTCATGCATTATTTCCATCTGTCCCCATACCCAGTCGTGTTGTCAGGATCCAAGGGCTGCCCAACTGTCGATATCCCCCCCGGGGCTTGAGGCTGCCCATCACCAGAACCAGAAGGCTGAGCAGCAGACCTGAGATTACCGTCCTGGTACTGAATGAGAGAAGGCTGATTTTGGGGGGTAGCGTCCCAATTCCCACTCCAACTATCCATACCAATGCCATATGCATTAGCATTTCTCGACCACCAGTCCTGGCTTTCTTCGACTAGGTTTTCAGTGCCGTCATACCCAGACACGGGAGATGCAACCGATGTCGGTGTTGCGTTTTGGGGTGAGATACGAGCCCCGGAGCCATCGTACCACTTGTTCGGATTAGGAGGAGAGGGGGCTGGAACGGATCCTTGGAGGGGAGTGAAATGGTAGGCCACTTGGGGCCGGAGGTATGTTGGTTCAGGAGGAGCGAACTCAGGCCGGTTGGATTGAGGTGGATGCATTCCTTGCATGGCGGGGAACGATATTGGGACGGCGGAGATGGGCCCATATTGCGGCCCAACTGGTGTATCAACCATGGCGATGGGTTCGGCGTGAGGATGTGGGAATGGGAACCTGGACGGTGAAAATCGGCTTGGGCTTGTAGAAGGATTTAATATGTTTGCGTTGATAGAGTCTTCGGATGTTGAAGGGGAAGTCGCTTGGTCCCAAGAGCCCCACGATCCCCATTTGTTATGGGTCCTTTCGAAGACGGAGATTGCTTCGGGCGGTAGCTCTACTTGCCACTTGTTTGCAGATATGTCAAGGATACGGAGGGTACGTCGAGCGCAGAGCCAGCCCTCTGCCATTTCTTCGAGATTCTTGAGGCCGTGTATCACGTCTCTCTGGGCGTTTTTGTCGGGGAGGTTGAGAAGATGGACGGTGCATGCAGTGTGGGCAATATAGACGGCGATGTTGCAGATTTGTTTCAGTCCATATCCGCGTTTGTATATCCGTAGAAGTTTGGAAACAGTCGCGGCGGCTTGCGTGCATATCTTGCGAGGTGAGACATGGGAAGGAAGTGGAGTATTTGCCTTGGTATACTTCAGGAATGGTCGGTATAAGTGAATTATTTGAAGTTGGTAGAACATACTGAGGCAAGAGTTAGTGGAGGCAAGACCGTGTGCGTGGGTATCAACGTACTGCATGACGAGCACTTGTGGTAGCTGTCCTTCTTTTGCCACTAGTTCCTTGGGCAAATTGTTTTTCCACGCCTCAAGGCGGGTGTGAACATCGCTCAGTTTCTTGAGTTCCGACTGTTTGGGCTGGGATTTCTCAAGTTCGGTTGGATGGTAGAAGAACACAAGTACATCGCCGCTGATCTCGCATAGTTTGGTTATTTGAAGCGCGACGGCTCTGGTTCTTGATGGTTGCGTGTGCTCGTGACCAACTCCAGAATCCGTGTAGGGTGACCATAACTCTATTTCCTCCTGTGGCAATACATCAAACTTGGGCACATTAGCGTTGGTCGATGTCAACTGGGGTTGGCGACCGAGGTAATTTGACCAGCATCTATAGAGTGTTAGAGAGACATTAGAAATAACCAAGGCAAGGGAGACTAACTTGTCAATGAGATAGCAACCCCAAAAGGTGATCCGTCGAGCATCCATCTCTTCGTCACTGAGATTGTGCGCCCCAAGATTTGCTGAATCGAGATTTAACCCTAGATCGAAAGCCATGCGGAAACTGAGACCACTATAGACCCAGCCTTTTCCTTCACGGCCACATCCCGCCTCTCGGACAGACATAAGTGCGAATGCCTGGACAGTGCAGAGTTTTGCATTCTCATGTTCGTCGTTTTCCAATATGAGCCGTTTTGCCTCTTTGAAGAAATGGTTTCCCGCTGTTGCGAGATTCTGGGGATCATCGAAAGCGCCTTGCCATGAGCTGAAATGGCAGCCTAGAGCTAGCATGGCATTGACGAGTAATGAAGAGCAATATGAACTGGATACACCGCGGATGTAATCCCGGTAGAACATATTCTTGGATAGGGTAGTGAAGAACGGATAGTGCCATGTAAAGTACATGGTCATCAGGTGACTGATTAGAGAGTCATCGTCTGTGACTTCAGTCCAGCGGCTCACGGCGTGTGGTTGATTATCGACATCGACCGCAGCAGGCTCGTGCAGCTCGGAGCCTGGAGGCAAGAAGATGAGGTTCGATGTACCTCCAATAAATTTGCGAGAACCGTCAAGCAAGAGCTCACTCATCTTGCCAGACAGTTCTGACTCGAACTGATCTATCTCGGCTATGTTCTCATTGCTAGCTGACTCCTTTGCTTTGTCCGTAGACATGAGCCCCTTCTCCTGGGAGATCACCGAAGCTGCTACATCTTCAAGATCATCGCAAGAGCGAATCTGACGTACTAATTCGAAGGCGTCATCTTCTTCGTAGTTTAATATTGCCTGTATCAATGTCTGCAGGGTGGTGTTTCGGGTCCGCAAGGTATCGGTGTCTTTCTTGTAAACACCTTTGCGGCGGTGATCCGAGTTTGGATCATACACACCTATGAAGGGTTAGCAAGGCGGGTATTGGTCTTTGTAAAGGGAATACGTACAAGGTGTATGGTAAACTGATGAGCAAGCTGCACAGCTGGGCAGGTTTCCATCACACTACATCCAGATCGTATTAGTAATGTTGCATTTTGATATCGGGATATGAAAGTCCAACCTTTGACTTCCTTTTACGACAGGCGACACAAGCTGTGCTGACGCATCGTCTTTTGGACGGCTGGGCACGTTCAGCACTCATGATTTCGGTTAGTTTGATAGGTGCGATTCAAGAAGTGCGCGTGATGGTTTCTCCGCGGGGTCTCTTCGCATGTCTAGTGTCGTGTTTGCCGGTGACTGGTCCAGACCTCGACATGGCATTTCCATCTTTTAGAGTACCAAGTTCGTTAGTAGAACATAGTGGCGTGCTACTATCGAGGGTGCACACAGTGGCTGTCGTCATGTTAGTCTATAGGACCATTGCGATCCGGTCTAGTCAGGCGCTAAGATCGGATATTGCGCCTTAAGGAATATCAACGCACCTAGATCTACGGGCTGGTGGCGATTGTAGAAGGAACCATTTACCCCACGATTGCAATGACCCGCAGTGGAGGCGGGGACAACAAGTTCAGTGTAAAATTTGATGAGATTAGGGATTTGTGATGTCCTTGAAATGATTGGGTGTCAGCCGTGACGACACAAGATGTGGTTATCGCCGGCCTCTGGATGGCTGACCAGGTGCTCAGGTGTGTCATGTCCATTTTTGAGCGGCTGACTAATATATTCACGTGGCTCTGGGCTATAAACATACACCGGGGCTGTGTATAATTTTAGGTATTATAGGCTCATTCCATATGATTATTATACATTAAATTGTAGAACATAAGAAAAAAGTACTGGACCCCTGCCAAGTAATTAACAGGAGGTTATCTCCGATACAGGTTTCGGATTCCGGTTGAAGGATTCAACACTCCGGGTCCTCCGTAGGTTACATATGTACATAGACCGATTGAGGTTACATAGATTTGCCGGAAACAGCCGAATAGATAAATCAATAACCCCATGTATGACTGCCTAACCTCATAAAAAGACAGGGAAAAAATATATATATACACATAGGGTTCACCGCAATTACCCTCGCTAAAAGCGGTCCACCTATGGACTTTTGCTTTTTTGGAGGTTTACAACAATATTTCACATCTACAGAGTAACTCGGGTGAAATAAAGATGTTCAGATAACAATGTAGGTGGGTCCCCTTTTGTTTTGATTTTCAGGGCCAAAGCATTTGCGTGTATAAAAGTTTACTCCGTACTCATACCTAGGTACACTTGACGAATATTCCAATGTGGCTAAATACTTTACAACATAAGCAATGGTAAACATCCTTGCAAGTGCGATGACTCAAAATATAGCCATTAAAAAGCCACCAATATATGGAAAATAGGGGGTTCACCGCAATTATTATCCTCGCTTAAGGCGCTCCACTAGCCACGTCGGGTCTCTTCGACTTGACGTTTTAGGACTGCAGCCACCCGCTCTTTTTTAGTGTTTTACCCCCTTAAATATGAGAGCCTCGTACGATCTATCGGAATGACCTTTTATCATTCCTTTATGTTGTATGTACTAAGCAAGCCAATAAGCCTGAAAAGATCAAAATTATGAAAATGGATCTCTATTTTTTTCCCGATTCTTTAGGGAACGGTGTGCATCTGGCGGCACCACACTAAAAGCAACCTTAAAGGGCCCACCTATTTTATTCAACATTTTAGTCGGAGTATACATCCATTACTATAGTGCTTTGTACATCATGTTATAGATAATTATATGTAGAGTATTGTATTGTATATGTATAATACATATCATAGATTAAAATATCATGTGTAATATCATACTATGTAACATGTACTCCCTGAAGATGAAAATAAAAATAACTATAAAAGAATTTCCCTTCCGGACTCCACCGGCGGAATGTTCTATGAGTAATGAGAACATATGTATTAATACAGAAATTACCATTTCGGACACATCCCGGAGCCCGGCATTATCTCCCGCTCAGCCAATCAATCACATGGTAAAATAAATTACTGTCTTGCGTCTCCCATGATCTGTTACATGCGTTTACCTGCCCAATACGGCTTATCTGAGATCATCCACTTTCTCCCCAGTATCTTTCTCTATCTCAATTGGACTTCTTACATCTCTTTCTCGATTTCTCTTTCTATTATCCTCCTTCCTGTTTCAATATCCTCCTCCCCTTATTAACCCATTCCTTCCCACAATTATCGTCTCTTAAATATCATCTTATCCGCTCGCGTGTGTGTCCCTGCATACCCTTGTCTCACGGCCCTATCCGCTTCCCTTGCATCTCTTTGGGCCAACACATACACCCTTGGATTGGCTGTCTCTTGCCTCACTTTCTGGGAACCTCTTATTTCCCACAATTTTCTTCTTTATCCATGTATCTCGCTCAGAAACTCGACCAGAGCGCTTCCTCCGGTTAAAGCCTCAATAACAACTGTCGTGTGATGAAACAGTCAACATGATGGTCCCTAGAGCATTTCTGTTTAGCTCGGCCCCACCGCAAAAGCCCTTTCAGTCTCATGGGATGAAGCCATTTATGCCGTCGGACTGTTCTGGTCTTGACCTCACTCCCAACACCGAAACCCGCAGATCGATCAACACTATTCCAGTGGTAATTCCCCCAAAGCGTGGCTGCAGCTCGCGGACTATGCCAGCACGTCGAGATATTCGTTCACGTGCATTATTTAAAACCTCGGAAACCTCTCGTCGGTCCTCTTCCACCTCATCCAACGACCGCCCCATCCCTACGTCATTCACCTCAATGTTAGACGCAACAGCCATCCCCGTCCCACGACGGAACTGGACCACTCGGAGACCACGGAAATTACCTCGTGGAAACCACGAGGAAGATTTTAGGCGCATGCTGCAGGAAGATATCAAGTCGAAGGAAGATAATTTCCTGGATGGAACCGCCTACTCCCCTCTGGATCTCCTTCTCAGCCCACCCGATCAAGACAATGAGAAACTCCTGCCTTGCAACGATTCCGAGCATGAATCGCCACTGTCGGTGAGGTCAACATCAAGTGATTCTATGCCATCATTAGAACATGGTCTATCATCACCACCCAGTCTTTCCTCGCCGCCAACCCCTCCGAGCCATAGAAGTCCACCGGAGAGACGACAGCCTCGGTATTCACATTCCGAGGAGTGTGCTTTGGACCATCCTTTGCTTGTTACTGAACTCGATGAATGTGAATACATCGAAATCAAGAATGACAATGAGCCTGTCACACCCAACACAGTGCCGGCAAAGCGATCTGCATCATTTGGGCGCCTCGGATCTACTTTCAAGTCGAACCTCACAGCATCATTACGGGCTATCAAATCGGCAGCACAGTCTGTCTCGACATTTGCCACGCCGTCTGTTCAACCAGAAGACTTCCTCACCCGATCTCTTTTCACCATCACCCCAGAGATGACCGATGATCGCCGTCCTTTACCGATGCAAGAAACGCCTTCTCCGGCACTACGACGCTACTTGAATCCATCCCCGATGAACCCAACCCCGATGTCACCCGCGGAGATGTATGTCTACCACGATCATCCACACGACAAATCACGTACCCCCAGTATATCACCCGTCTCGATCCAAATGCAGACATATCGTCGATCTGGTGGCCGCGGGAACCGACGGAACCATTTCCACATCGCAAGCAAGGATCAGAAATTCGTCACTTTCGACCCGGAAGTTCCACCCATGCCACGCCAACGCGAAAATCGTGAAAACAGCGATTTCTTACGCGTGGTGGTTCTCGAAATGAACATGCGCCGCAGCGGCAAACTCCGCGATGACATCCCACCCCGTGCTCGCATCTGGTTGCCAGCACGCAAGACAAACACCCACTTATCAGGACAATACGAGGACGGAGATGACAACAACGCCGTTCCGTCCCGGTGGGTGGGTGTATCAGCCCAGTGAAATAAAGTTTTTGATAGATGTCCGGTCTTAGCGCAGAGCGCAAGATATGGCACGATACATCTTCCCTTTTGGTTACTTCACTTCAGTACATACTTTTTCTTTTTTATCTTTCTTTGCAAGCGTGGCGTTGGACGAGGACGGTGTCCTACTCGGTGCAGATATTTCCTCTCTTTTGTTACATACCCCCATTTCTACCTTGACAGCGCTATGATTTTGCTATGGCTGCTTTTGCTCTTTTTTAGGTCGATCTTTCGATCACCTAAGATATCTATCCAACTCCAATCAAATCTTCAAACACTAATGATTAATCTTCTTGCCCTGTAAATAAAACGGAGTCACCCAACATGTGTACTACGTACTAACCGACCCTTGGTTTTTATTCACAGATTAATCCAACTTTGTATATATTTCAAATTGATTTTAAGAGTATTAGGTAGAGTGTACCGGTTTTACATGAAAAGTCGTTCTCACAAATTAAACCTTTTCGCGCTATTTTTGCCGCCGATCTATAAAACTGACATGACATTCAAACGGAGTATCAGAGAAAAACACCGAAAACCCCCTGTAAGGGTGTCTCAAGGCATAAGCGAACGATTATTCTTGTGATCATGATTTACATTTTAGCAAGAAATAGCAAAAAGTAAAAGAAGAAAAAAAGGGGATCTTTCAGGAGAGATTATTATGGGTGGCATGAAAGAAAGACTAACACGTGATCATATTTCCCATAACTTCCCAGCTCGAGGTCTCACTTCCCTTCTCCATACAAGGCTCATTGTATCTAGACATTCTGTATTATGATACTATCATGCATTCTACGACATCACCCGGCGTGGCCTGATGAACCTCGGATGTTTGGGCTCTTGAGCACGGTCAAAGCCACATGGTTCCAACAATACAGCCTGTCTAGTCAAACAGTCTATTGGTCTACGGGATAGGTTATTTCGGCAGCGGTGTTTCTCCAGACTGTTATAGACGAGCCGGGACGTAATCAGATGATCGGTATAGGCAGTGTAACTTGTACCTACGGGCACCATTCATCCCTACTCTCACATGGACAATCATATGTCCAGCGGCCCAAGAGGCAAAAGCAAATGCATAATTCATAAAGCGATCTGAACACAGCTTCATCGTAGAACCGGGAACCCTGCATAAAACGCGTTAAAACCCGAACGGCCAAAACACGGAAAGGATATTACTTACTCTCCTCGTCCAGTAAAGTGCCATTTTTCCAGCATTCCTCCACCCAGCTTACGCTAACAAGATGCGGCATTTTTGCGCCCGGCTTCTCGGCCAGAGACTGCCGGAGAGAGGATACGTCCGCTGAAGACGATGTCTCCGGGTCGACTATCACGTGTGTGGTGCCTGTGCTCTCTAATGAGCTGGCGTTCTCCGCGCCTGCGAACCGGGCTGTATTGTGGGCGAAATGGAGGCGGTGGTATTCCTTTCTTAGTTCAGGGGCTTGTTCGTCCTTTTGATTCCCGTTCGAGTAGAAGTGGAACTTTAAGCCTCGGAAGAGCCATCCACGAGGTGCTGTGTAGCCGGCGTTTACTTTGTCTTGGATAAGTGCCTCGACTCTGTGGACTGTTTCTGGGTCTGGGATTTGGTCGGGCTGTTCTGGGTTCTCTTCCATTTGCTTGAATATCTGTAAGATTGACTACTTGTTAGTCAAAGCCATGGGTGTTGACGCTTCTCTAGGGGTTGCCATACCTCCTTGAGTTCGTCGACAGTTGTATCGCGGGCATAGCTGTCCATGAATTTGTCGACGTTTGCTGCGACTTCTTCCTCTTTGTCCTCTGTCATGAAAAACATGTGTCTATAGAAGTTGATAAGAATGAGCTCCGTGGATCTCCTTTGGTTGGTAAAACTTACCTTGGCTCGAATGGGAGAAGAAGATCTGGCAGGCCAGCATCTATTTCATTCTGTTTAACGCAGTCGATAAGCCAAGATGGTCGAATGATGTTTTGATCTCCACTCTTTTGTAATGACGCTACTTTGACCGTTCCTGCGGAAACATTAGCTTGGGTGATTCTATATGTGTAGAACGAGGCTTACTCCTTTCAGCAACACAGATCGTGTCTGCCGCAGCTGTCTTGGTTTGATAAAACTTGCCACCATTAGCCTTCACCAGTTGTTCCAGTTGAACTTTCGTTTTCTTTTCTGGGACGGTGGACTCGGTCATTATGACTAGAAAGCCAGTATATTAGTATTATGCACGGCAGAAAGATCAAATCACATACAGAAGTTAAGCTCATCGAAGACGTGCCCAGAAGGCCCGAGATACTGGACATCAACATTATCGTCGTACCCAGCAACCGTGAGCGGTTTCTTAGTGGCCCTCTTTACTCGCTTCTTTCGAGAGTTATCAACGGAGAACTCTTTCTCCCGATGTTCTTGCTCTGCATTAGACTTCAGATCAAGGAACTCCTGAACCGAGAGCGCGCTTTTCCAGTCCTTGTCCTTGCGCAATTTCTTGAACCGAGGAAATCGTAATGTCAATCCCATGCGGAACTGGTCACTGATTGCGACAGATGCAGCTTTCACACACAGAACAATTGAGTCAGATGGTTTAATCCACATGTCTGGACGCTCGTGCTGGGCGTCTCCACCCGCCAGTTCGATATAGGTAGTCGGTGGCTTTTTCGCATCCCACTTTTTCCACTTGCCATCTGTATGATGGCGGAGCTCTTGGTAATCGGCCGCAGTAAACCCACCACCAACCTTACAAAAAGACCAGCATTTCTCTGGTGCTTGTGTTTTGTCGTCGACTCGTAGTCCGCAGAGAAAACTGGACAGGGCACCTCCTCGATGACCTGAGCCATAGTATCCGCCAATCACAACAACATCAAGGGACTCTCCAAATTCGGTCATATAGTCCGGTTTGACTTTCATCCAGTCATCGTGGCGTTCGTTCAGTCGATATGGAGAACGCGGGTTCTTCAATACAAGACCTTCTGACGCCTCAGCGACAACCTTCCGCAGAGCAGCTTCAACTTCTGTGGTGGTAGAAGCTTCCTCGTAGGCATGAATTTCAAACCGGCGATGGACAGGCCGGACAGTTTTCTCCAGAGCATTGCGACGATCACGAAGGGTATACTTTGTGAGATCGCGCCCATTGAGATGCAAGATATCGAACACGCGGAATAGGGGCCGTGGACCATTTGTGAAAGGGTTACGTTGTTCCGACAGCGCCGCGGTTTTGAGCGTTCCAAAGGGAACCATGGCGTCCTGTTCAGGATCCCAGGTAATCATTTCGCCGTCGAGAATAATGCTCTGCACTCCATCCACAAAGGCATCTTTGAGATGCCTTGTCAGAGCACTGTTCTCGTCATAAAGGCCATTTCCATATAGATAGGTGTATTCCTTCGCTTTACGCGACCAAAAGCCAAATCTCCGACCACCTTTGATTGACTCGTCAGGCGCCATGTGGAGTTGCATACGCTCACCATCCATTTTCTCCTCAATCCAAAACACGTTGTCGTCTTCTGTTGGTTTCATGCGAGCAATGATTTTCTCGAATGAATGCATCTGAAACTGGGCCAGCTGGGGCTGGAAGCATTGCATCAACGCAATACCACGCTCCTCTCCCTCAAGCCGAATATTGGGATCATGCAGCTCCCAGCACACACGTCGCAGACTGCTAGATATACTATACAAGTTCTCTGCATCGGGGTGCCAAACGTCAAAAAATGTTCGCTCGGTAGCACCAACCTTCATCTGCCGAAGTATAATGCGGATGAGCCACAGAAGCTCTTCGGGATTCATTCGCCGATAGAACTCTGTCAGGATTGGCAATTGTTCATCCTCCTTTGAGGCAGCAGATAGCTTATCCAGCTTCTCATTAACCTCTTCAATCGTCATGTCACCCGGCTCGGTCCGCATAGGCCGTTTCGAGAGAACATCAAAGCACCTTCCAGCAAAATCGCCTGCCATACGTGCTGTGGCACCCTGGCCGGGCAGCTTCCAATTAAGAAGATTGTATCCATCTTCTGATTCTTTATTGATCTTCATGATCTTGACGAGCATCTTCCCGATGGCCTTCTCCTTGATCCCGTACATAGGTCGATCGCGGTCTTTATCGGGAAGAATCAGTCTCAGGGCGGGGTAGATGTCGTCGCCAACCTCCTTGCGCCACCGCGAAATGAAGCGCTCGATCACATCGCGCCGGCGCTCGAACGGATTGAGACTCGCAGCACCTTTGCCATGGGGACCAACTTTCCGGTGAGATGGAGCCGGCCCTGATGGCTTCTTCTTTAGCTCACTCAGTGGATTAAATAGTTCGAGGTATAGATCGTGGAACGGCAATGTCGGGCCCCGGTTGTGAGGTCTATTGGGGTATCTGCCAACTATCAGTGATCTACTCAGAAGCTTGTCATGAGTTGGCTCACTTTTCATCTAGATCTTCTTCTTTCTCTGGCTGGATATCCTGCCCTAATATCTCGTCGGAATCCATAATTGTTAAGAGAGGGAAGTTGAAAGTTCCAAGGTTGCACTACCCCAGATGTTTTTAGGCTACACTGCTGATAAGATAAGGGATAGCTCCACTCATTTTAGACAGCTCGGTTTACCTGCTAAATTCACCTCGGCTCACCTGTATAATAACATTCATGGTATGGAAGATGAGTAGAGAAGGAGAGAAAGACCTTTGATCCACTTCTGGAAAGTATGAATTTTTAGGCGCCGCCATTGCACTAGTACTGTATGTTATACTAGCCGTATATAAATCAGGTGCTTTTTAAAAAGCGCACTTCTACATTCGAGTCTTCAACCCTACTTTCAAGGGTTGTACTTTGGTGCTGGCTTTTTGAGGCGTTAATTGAGCAACCGCTAAGGCCTGGGTGTTCTAAATCTAGATAATCCTTCATAGGTTATAAGAATTTATCTAGAGCATATATAGGACTTCCTACGAGCGGTTGGACGTCATTTATTAATAGTTCAAGGACATAAGAGGACCTCTAGATACTAGGTGTAACAATTGTAGACTTGTCATTGTGAAGAGGTTTTTGGCGTGCATTTTTTGTTATAGCATACAGTTACAGATACCGGGAACATCATTGGAGTTCGGTCAGTATCCCAAATCTCCACCAAGAAGCGAGCTTGAAGACATCCCTTCTTAATTCGAAGGAATGAAGAAATGGACTTGGTCATCGATCAGCCTACCACGGTACTTCTGCTCACCCTCGAGCCACTGCTTCACGGCAGATACCACCGCGTTGTCCTGAAAACCAATATCAGGGAGTATTACAAACTTCCCAGCATCAGGATAGCGTTCCATTCTTTTGCATAGTACAAGGCCGTTTCGAGGGGGAAAAGGTTCTGCTGGCCTTTTCTTTCCATATATTGTATCCATTGTGTCTTGGCCGTTCATGTATGGAAATAGGTGAGATGTTTGGATATCATCCACCGTGGTGGCTTTGTAGACGGCAAGACCATCGGGCCCCTGCGATTTTGCAATCACAGCATGGACAAAGGTGGCAGGCTTACTGGAAGCGCTTTTTGGTTGGTCGGATGCCAGTGAGTTCAATAGGGATGGTCGTTTTCTGACAACCGGCCGCCGCATCGCGGAGAACTTCGATCTTTTGTGTAGGAAGACAACTGTTAGTTCCTAGCAAATAACCCATGTATCGTTGAAATTTTGCTCTGGGTATGTATACCTAGGTAGAAAGCATGATCGATTTCGCTTTGCCATTCGAATGGCCGAGTCAAGTTTCCATATCTTGTTTGCCTTGTGTCTCGTTTCAGAGCATTTGACCTCAATAAGGATCCTTGGCCATTTGAGACAGCTGTGACTAGTCGGCACCTACGAGGTGGTGCGTTGTTCCTTCGGTTTTCATGGCTCTGGGTGTAAGGAAGAAAGCCTTTCTGTTTGCTGCACTAAGGATGGAAAACCGTGGTGATGATGCCAGTTCCCACTTGCGTGGGTGGCAGAGTCCACTCAGAGTAAAATGGTATGAGAAGTGAAGTTGAGTCCAGGAGGTGGGGAATGTTATGAGGAAATTTTGTTGGGGGTGAAAGAAGGAACGTTGGAGGGCGCTCAATAAGTGGAAACAACGCTAGCACCATATTATATAAAATGACATTTTGAACTACCCGTGGACATAACTTTCTAAAAAGATACTTCTAAAAAGACATCAATTACCTTGAGTGCTAAATCTTATCACAGGAAGATATAGCAACATCTAAGCTGATTCTATAGCACCCGGTTTCCACGGGATAACATCTTCATGAACCGATCGATTGGTATATAAACAGACGAAGGAGCCAATGAAAGGACTACTGTACAAAAGAAGAAATGTATTATTTACCATAGACCATTAATCTCCACCCCACCACATATCAGACATTCTCAGCATCAAGCCGGGATTTCTGTCCCCTAGAGGAGTGATACGAGCTCAGATCCGCCAGCCGCGTCAGAATAACCACGAATTTCTTCGAGATACTCCACGCCGTCAAGCCCGAAATGATCTCACATCCAACCCGCAGCATCCTTTCCGGGCCCTCAGCCCCACAGATATCACCAACACCAGTAACATTCCCTCTCATGCCATGACCCTCCCTCACAAAAAGCTGCACAAGCTCATCAGCGCACGGCCGATCAAGATGAACAAATTTCCGTTCATGGAGCGGCTCCGCACGCGCCCCGGAACGCGGACTGGATTCATGAGACGTATGAGCGTGGCAGGATCCATACGCCCATAGCGTGAGCACAGCAATGAACGCCGCGACGGGTTCGTGGAAAGCGTTCGTCGAGTAGCGACGGATATGCCAGAGAGTGACGCCGGCGTGGATGACTGATAGCCTGGCTTTGTATTGATCGTGTTTCATCCAGCGCCAGATGTACTGCCACTCGAGGGATTGGTACCGCTTGCTCCAGCGCTGTTTTTCTGTTGCTAGGGAGGTTGCGAGGGAGCGGATTTCGCGGAATGGAGTGAGGAGGAGTAGTCGGGCAGCGTGGAGGTGGAGAATGGTTGGGTGCTCGAAACCTGCGGCTTTGGCTACGGTGCTGTTGGCGGTCCAGTGGAGGATGTCGAGGCAGTCGCATGCGCTATTGCGCCATTTGGAGTATGAGGGAATTCCGGGGAGCCACACTGAACCGGTGGGGATGGCGGTCTCGCAGGATTGCTTCTTTGCTGTAGGGTTCCAGAAGGAAAGTGGTCGGCGGAAGTAGTCTCCTACTTCCCACATTCGGTGGTAGAGAGCGTGGATGAGTAGGATGTGACTAAACTCTCCTATCCCAGATACTACTCTCTTCTCGATGTAGAGGATGTGGACTGCGTCGTATAAGGATTCGTTGGCTGTATGAGTTAGACATTGGTCGGTTGTTGGGTTTGAATAAGAGTTACCAGATGACTCCGTCCACAGTAGCTTCCATGTCTCTGCAGACCTTGCTTGCCATAGCTTCTCGTGCGCAGGCAATGCAGCTTGGCCATCGTCTAGGGAGAGCAGGGGTCGATTATCAAAGTAATATGCAAGAGTACAATCCACAAGCTATCATCGTCAGTAAGAGTAAAGGCTCCATCTTCTGACAAAGCTTACCCATATACAGTAGCCGGTGCGTCTCCTGGCCTCATCTTGAATCCAAGATACCCAAGCTGCGTCTTGTGACGCCTCATTGGGTTTCGTTCGCATCGGCGCCAATAATCGCGAAGCTTTCATGAGTGTCACCAAGTCACCAAAGGTGCTCAAGGCCGAAGCTTTTTCTCGCTCAGTCCTACTATGGAAAAGCCCAATGCAGTTGAACAACATAGCTTGTAACATCTCCAGAGAAGCTTGGCCAGGGCGACTCTTTTCTTTCTGGTAGTGCGAAATAATTAGCTTGAAAGAAATGAATGGCAGTAAGACGACCTTTCTCACCTCAAGATAGATACCCCGTCGAATTAGCTCGTGGAGAGCAGTCGTGCACTGCTCCATCTCGGGGATGTGGGACACATGGCAGCCAAGTGTTATTATTGACAAAGTCAAGAGCCAATGGCTCGTATTGGGATCAAACTGAGAAAGAGGTAATATGGGATAAACGGCCTGAAATGAATCGAAAAAGAAGAGGATGAACTGGTTGCATTTGTCCATGGTGGGAAATCTGTCCGATTCGAACACCTTGAAAATTGGAGTTTCATTGCAGCACATTTGAACAAAGTGCCGATAAATCTCGTCGTAGGTGGAGGTTTTAATCCGTTGTGCGAAGCGGACTATATCTTTCGATATCTTTTCTGTTCGCAGTTCGGAGATGATAGGGAAGTCGAACCGGTGCTCGCCATCTTCCATGAGTAGCTGCTTGCCAATATCAGCCGGCTCGACAGATGAGCTGGACCAAGGCGTGTGTTTCTTCTCATGCTTTGGGGGTCGGGATGGCGCACCATCGACATAGTATTCCGCTGATCCCTTGGCGGAACCTACAGATTCGCTATGAGGAGAAGGCTCGCTAATACCGTGGGAATGTTGATTGGGGCTTCCCATGTTGTTTCCTAGAGTAACATGCGCAGAGGGGGTCTGAGATACCTGCTCTGTTTGCAAAGGACTCATTTTCCCAGCGCTAACAACCGGTGGTTGCCACGCTGTCTGAGAGAAGTATATACTTGGACTGAGGGATTGGTTGTATTGCGAGGAAATACCAGTAGACTCTGCGGGGCCATTAGGAGCACTAGAAAGCAGCTCCCCTGGGAGCCAATTGATGGTTGAAAGTATGGATTGGTCAAAGAACGTGGGATCAAAATCTAGCGGCACCTCGGGGTTATTTGCCATGGTCATCCCCGGCTGTATGCCCCCCATTTTGGAGTCTAAATTGTTGGATGACTCAATTGGGAAAGCTTTTGGGATGTTGGAGCTCGAGTTATTGTATGTCTGGTCGATATCTCCGGGGTAGCCCTCCAATGGTTCAGACGGCCCTTGTGTCTCATTTGGAAGATACACACCAGGATTCGAGGTATCTGAAATGTGTGCATTTTGTGGTATTCGATTTGTGTGATCACTGCCGGACGTAGATGATACATTTTGCGAGTGTATAGAAAACCGGTCCTGACTAGAAGCTGCATTCAATCTTTGGTGCATGGGTTTGGGGTTGTCGTTGGGCGTCTCAGCTTCTTGGGCTGAATCCCTGCCTTTTGCTTTGGACCGCCGTTGTGTAGGATATTGACATTCGAGGGAGCGAGTATCACACCGTCCACATGGCACGCCGCCGCTACATCTTACTCTTGCCGTTGCGCAACTAAAGCATGCTCGGAATGTTTTGACAGTAATCCGATGGGTACGATCTTTCCCTGTCATCCCTGGTGCATGATGATTCAATTCATGTCGATGGAGGGTGTCCCTGAGGGTTGATTAGCGGGTAATTCGACGCGAGGATAGCTATGACCCAAGCGTGCATACGTTCTTGAAAAGTGTCGGCCACAGTGGGCACACTCAAAAGGCTTCTCTTTAGTGTGACTCCGCAAATGCCGTTTCAAATGTTCTGGTCGTCTGAAGGTACTGCTACACACTGAGCATCGAATGTGACCAGCAACCAGTTCATCTCCATCTGTATTTCGAACTTCGGATCTCCCACGTGTTTTAACATGAGGATCCTTGTTGTCTTTACCCGAGAGCATGGCTCCAATTTTTCAGAGAGGCATATGGCATTTGCCTTAAGCCAAGTTATTTTGCAAGTCACATTGCAGACCTCGGACAGATGAACTAAGAGGGGGGGAAGTGGAGAATTCCGGGGGAATCTTTAAACACGGAAAATGCTCGGTTAATTAAAATCCGGGGTTGACAGTTGACGATCGTGTTTTGTTAGAGATATATTAAATATGAAACGAGAAACATCTATGAATTTGTGAATATTATGATTATATTTTACGTACCCCATACTTCATACTCCATACAGTATAGTCGCGTAGGAGAGACGTGTACGGTCGCGTGCACGGCCACTTCTCATATTTTTTCCCCCTAAACAACTCAGAAACAAATTTCCCGAGGTCCCCGATCTTGATCGATATAAATCTTGGTTTCATAACTTGCATAAAGTGGACTTCTTTCCAATTGCGGGGAATTCCATGGCCGCTTCCGCGAACCAGCGGTTGGCTGTCCGGAATGACGCTCTACAAGGCGCCACACTTGCATTCCACTCCAGGGATCCCTCACCCAATGTGACGGTTAGATCTTCTGCCACTACTGCAATGGCAGATCCTCTAGGTCATCAGAGGACTGGATCAGACCCCCCAGAAGCAGGTTCCGTAAAGGAGAAGGTGGGGAGATTGGCCAGGCCACTTTCGCCTACATCCAGTACATCAAGTGTGAGAGGACGACCATCAGCCGCGGCTCTCTCCTCGGCCTCCCAAATTGCGGCACGGCTCGCTGCATCAAGGTCCCCCGGGCGGGACACCAGTGCTCCGTCGACAACTGCCCGAATTGGCGGTCCAGTACGAAATGCAAGCCAGGTTCCACCTTCACAGAAGCGACAGCCACCACCAATCCCAATTCGCTCAATCCAAGGAACAAATGGTCCCTTGGGTCGCCCGATGCATGAAAGTGGCTTAAAGTCTGAATCTGATCTGCCTACCTACGGGCGCTCTCCATCCCAAGAATCTAGCACAATTCTAGATTATCAGGATAGTCGAGAGCCAAGCCCCCTTCCCTCCTTAGGGTCTCGGACTTCATTTCTACTGTCAGATGAGCTAAAACCGAGGCTTCCGCCGCGTGTGCCTCCACCACGAGGGTCTACCAGAAATCATGGAATCGCAAAACCCTCTTCGACGCCAAGCGAGGCATCTATATCGAGCCAGTCACCTGCAAGTACCAACGTAATAGATGACTCCATGGCCATGAGCGAGGAGGCCCTCTCTAATGCCATTATCGCCTCATCCCTGGCATCAACACGAGCATCCCCATCTATCCGGGGGATTCCCCCGCCGCTTCCTCAGCGACGCGGGGCACGATCCATTCTACATTTACACTCGCACCAGCACACGCCTGATCTATCAAGGACACCAAGTCCACCGAAGAGTCTGCCAATGACACTTCGCGGCATACCGAAATCCACCGAAGCCGACCGCCGAAAACACAGAAATCCCCTGCACAAACACCCCCACAAACACAAGGAGGGGGACCGTAAGCGCTGGCAACGCGAGGTCAGTGAAAAGGAGCGCAAACGTTACGAAGGTGTTTGGGCCTCTAATAAAGGGCTTCTCATCAATACCAAGGGCCCCGGTCCCAATGAAAATGGATCATGGCCACCTGATGCCTCGGATATGGTTCTCAACCTAGTGGTCCGAGAGATTTGGTCCCGCAGTCGCCTGCCAGAAACAATCCTGGAGCAAGTGTGGGACCTTGTCGATCATCAGAATATTGGGCTCTTGGTGCGTGAGGAATTCGTAGTAGGAATGTGGTTGATAGACCAGAACTTAAAGGGACACAAGAACCCTGTCAGAGTCCGGGACAGTGTTTGGGATAGTGTACGGTATGTTGGCATTAAGCTACCCCTCGCTGAGAGACGTAAGGGCCATACAACATAGTTAGGTCCCTAATCAACGCACATTCTGGATTGAGTATCGAATATTTAAAAAGTATTTCAAATCAAATTCTCCATAATTATGTAGCCTATACCAGTTCTAGGGCTGAAACATTATGTAAGGATCTGATTTGATATCATCCTCTCCACCTTGGAAAGGTACTAATGCTCTTACCTATGTAGGTAGGTTGATAGATCATCTTCAATCTCACTTAATAGCTTCATTACACTTCTATAGCGTGCGAACTGTGGGTCCACGTGATTAATTGTTTTAAATGGTAAAATTACATATTTCTCCTACCCAACCGTCAATTATTACCAGTATCAGTCGTACCGGTACGTTTTCAAATCCAAAACCCTTCGAATATCAGAAATCCCGTTTCCATTCTCTTTCTCCTTGCCAGGAATTCCAAGAAAACAATTATATGAAATGGAAAAAAAGTCCCATTTTCGATTACCCTGCATATACACTGCATCCTGATACTCCGTACTATCTCTCCAATTCGGGGTTGGCTTCGATCTCTCTTTGCTTAGTTGCTAAAAGCAAATCCCGAACCTCCCCACGGCTCGGGATTTGCGAAGATCAAGCAATCACACGGAAGTCTCTATATCAGCGCCCTTTTGAACTTGCGATTTTATTACTCGAGCCGCAGAATGCCCCATTTCAATATTCGGTTGCAAAGACGCCCGGGAGGTGCAGTTTCAAATTAATGGTTCTGTAGATTATTGCTTTTCTTTTTTAAGTGTCACCATGGCCGATACATTACACGATTATAACGGGCTTGCCTCAACAGCGCCTCGGTCGGTTCGCAAGAAGTTTGCTAAACCGCCAGTTAAGGTAGCATGTCTTCCCTGGTGAGCAAATCCCGTGGGAAAAAAAAGAGGAACTTCTCCACTAATCGGTTACTCCAGCCGGGCTTCGAGAACAAGATGTGGCGGCCAGATGCCATGCGCGAATGTACGTTTTCTTTGTGCTTTGAGTGTTTAGGGTCCTTTGAGATCTTTTTTTGAAAAAGATTATGCATCTGGATCATTCATTGCATGGACTAACATTCATTATAGTGTGTTAGCAAAGACAGAGAATGTTCTTATTTACCCAGCAAACGAGGCGGGCCACGCAAAAAGAAGGAAAAGTCCTCGCTGTCGCCAGAACATGCATCGAGGCGAGATGATACCTTGTATAATACTATCCCTTCACCCCCGGAGTTTGAAGAAGGTACGTCGTCGCCCTGCCCGAAAAAAAGTCGATATACTAATCAAAGTTTAGCACCGGGGATGTTCAATCAAATTGATGAACTCTCTCTGCCTGGCGCAGGTTTGAGGCATCTAGATTTCCAATCCGATGTTCCCTCCATGTTCCAGAACTTCTTCACTGGCGATGGTAGTCAGTCGCACATGCAAGTGCCCTTGATGTCACCGCCCCCGAACAGTACTCAACCTTTCGTAAGAACCTATGGAAGCGAGCCCGAAATGTAAGTATCTCTCTCCATGGGTTCCGTACATTTCCTAACATTCCCAGATTGAATGCCTATTATGACTTCATTCATAACTATTTTCCCATTCTTCCGCCACGGGCATCACCACCGTGCCGAGATCGACCATTGAACTGCCCTGTTCCATGTTCCACTGCATCTGAACCGATGATGATGTATCGGCCACGTTCGCCTCTAAGTCTTGCACTGTCTGCAATCTTGGCTTTGGTTCCGCACCCAAGTGATCTTGAGCCGTCGTCTGCAGCGTCTGTACTCCAGCGTAGAACATACTCGCATGCTTTCGCCCAACTCGCCAATTCAACAATCGAAGCGGAGTGTGATCTTGATCTGTCTTCAACTGATCCCGGCCAAGCATTGTCTGCTGCACGACCTTTTGTTGGGCGGGAAAGATTCCACTCGCAGGCTCCTGTGGACAATGAGAGCCTCCTGGCTCTCCTAGTGCTTTCAGTTTATGAATACGCCCAACGTGGTAACTTACTCAAGATGCGATACCGTGCTGGTCAAGCTCTCGCAATTGCTTTGGACAAGTCACTTCATGCTGAAATGGGGAATGATGAATTTTCGGAAGCTCGACGGAGAGCCTGGTGGATGACGGTTTGTCTCCCTTCTCATTCATTGGTTCCTGGTCTAATTTTCTTTTAGTATTATTGTGTCATTCAAGGATCTATTGTTAGCACAACGGTGAGTGATATAGCTCCTCAAACATCCGTGATTGATTGGAGCTAACAAAGAAATAGATGCCTGCTATCGTCATTAATGACCCGCAGTTCACGACTCCATATCCATCGTTTTCATCAGATGCCGAGGTTTGTACTCAAAGACCTCTTCATTATCTTCCATCCGCTAACCGGTCTTAAGGGTTGGTCTATCTTGATACAAGCCCAACAAGTGCTTGTATCGGCAACCCAGTTTATTGGTGATCTGAACAAATGCCTTTCATCCCAATCAGGGATGTACTATATGTTCGAACGAATGCAGCAACTTGATTCCTGGACCCACTCCGTGATTGCCCAGGCGGAGCTACTCCCCCTTCTACCCCAAACATCAGATTTCGGCGATCACAACGAAACAATTACAGCCCAAAGCATACGTGCAATATCCCGAATCAAACTATCCAGGTTCGAGCTACTCGCCTTTCCATGCCTAAACCCAACTAACCATAACCCCAGCGCACAAATAAAAACGCACCGCTTCCGAGCCTTCTCCGACATCCCCATCTTCATAAAAAGACATTGCGACCTGACAGCAGCAAATCCAACCACCACCACAGCACCCGTCAACACAAAACCCACCGGCATCAACAACATCTCCTGCTCTTGCTCGAACCTCAACTCCTTCGAACGAGCATCATCAACAGAATACATGACCCCATCCGATTCCTCAACCTCATCAGACATTCACACCGACATCCACCCATACGCACCCCAGTACGCGTATCCATTCGCCTCCGGCTTCCCCTACAGCACGCAGCAATCCGCGAAAATCTGTCTTCAAGCCTCCCTCGTCATCTCCCGCATGTTCCACAGCCTGCCCGTCCCACAGCCTCTCACAGATCCAGGTCGTCCATTGCCACGGACCATGCCCTCATTCGCATGCTGTCTCATGCAAAGTAGCTACGCTATGTTCATGATCTATTACAAGGCAACCGTAGCGAAGCAGCTTGCACCCAACACCTCTGAGCACGAGCATGGCGAAGACTCGACCGATCACCTCATTGACGAACTACGACAGGGCTTACAGCGGATCATTGGGGCCGTGTCTAATTATTCGCTTGCTTTCGAGGCTTTGGATGGGATGAGAGGTTTGTTATGTTTTTTCCGATATATGATCCTTACGTTAACACTGTTTTAGATGAAATCGAGGGTGCATATAAAACGGCGTTCCCATCAGCATCTGTTTAAACGGGAGGTATTTTTTTTCTACATCGTTCTGAGCTTTTTTTCAACTTTCAAGCCTACACTATAATGATCCCCCTCCTCTCTTTTCACGACCGGATTCTCCACTTCTGATTTAGTGCTCGACGGAATGCGGCGTTTTTTTCAACATCTATGGGGTAATACAGATGATGTTATGATTCCATTCGTTGATAGGCAGATTTACGCATACGAAATACAAGTTCTATCACGAATCGGACAAGGACATGTATCCGGTGTTGCTATACATGGATGTCATTGTTTATATACGGGCAGCAAATATTGAAAAAAAACGTGTATTTCCATTAATAAACCGCTAATTTCAAATCCCCAAAGCAAGATCCTTTCTAATTCTTAAGCAAGCCTAGAGTTTGGACCGGATACCTTCCAGTCGGAACTTTACATCTTTCAGAACTTTGCTAGAAGGTTTCCAGTCGTCAAATTGTCTAAGCAATTCCATAGTCTCGTCGTGCAGCTCCTGACGCACATATTCTTCTTCCAGCAGACCGCGCATGGCGAAGGGAAGAATGTACGGGTTTGGCGTGGCGGAGCTGGTAGCACGCTTGACGCTGAGTGCGGAGTCTGGGACGGAAGAAGTCTCGAGTGTGAATTCTATGGCCATGCTGGAAGATGGTGTTAGTTTTGGTGCGGGTAGGGATTCATGGATGTTACATACGAATACACGGCTTCATCATCGTACAGCCGAGAATGTCCTTCTCCGGAGTATAGACTCCCTGCTAGTGGGGTGCTTAGTTCGCGGATGAGACCGTGGTCTGAGATACCAAGGTTGCGAAGCTTGAGGGCGAAGCCAACTAGATGAGAGAGGCTATAGTTTGATATTAGCGTTGTCGAACAAGATGGGGTGAGGGGGTTGCTTACAAGCTTGGGGCGTGAACTCGGCCGTCTACAAAGACAGCGCGGTAGACGTATGGATGGTTTATGGGTGAGAAGAGAGAGGACTGGGGCGAGTTAGCAATTTGATGAATGCTTGAATATCAAGTTAGATACTTACCTCCAGTGAAACGAGTTGGTCGTCAATACTTCCGATGTAAGAAATACGAACACCAAAATTGAGAGCACATTTAAGAGCTGCTTCGTACTCTTTCGAGACCTTGCTGAAAGGCAGTGCGAACTCGAATAGCTCTCCAGCCGACCCACTGATCCATCGAGAGCGATAATCCGGGAAAGGGCCGAGATTGACACCTGCCATAGCGCAGATGCCCACTCGCTTGGTATCAAGACAGCCGAATTGTACCAACTTCGCAACTAGCATGATAGTTACTGGCACGCCCTGACTGTGACATGCGAACATGACGAAATCAGCCTTGCGGATCTCCTCCATCCAATTCAGAAGCAACTTCCACAGGAGATCCACTCGCTCCGTGATGCGGCCTTCTCCTTCCAACGCAATCTTTTCAATATCGCACGAATATCCATGGCTCTCCGTATACTTCCGAATGGCATCTGCTGCCATATTAGAGAAACGGATGGATGTGCCCGTGGGCTGTCCAATAAGATTTCGAATGAATGGAGCAGGGAAATATCCATGAACACCAATGGCCAAAGCGCGTCTCACGTGCAGCGGATCTCTGACCCTGCTGACATGGCGAATCTCTGGCCCTTTCCCATAATGCAGGAGCCGACCGAGGCTCTGTAGGATAGAGGGCGATTGCTCAAATGGATAGGTTTCTTCGAACTTCGGCAGTACTTGGTTGGGAAGAATCTGCTGTAGTTGTTTTGAGGCGGTAATATCCGCTGGTCGAGGTTCGACAGGCGGCATAGACGTATTGGTGCCTTCTGCGGTGGGCCCAGGTCCGTTTTTGAGACGTTTGTCTTTTGGGGGCTTGACCTTGATACTACCTTTCTGGGTTATCTTGATATTTGAATCTGTGTCTGGTTCAAGTGCTTTATCTTTTGATGGCGGGTTAGGTCCCATTGATGCCTCGATTGCTTCGCCTTCCTGCGGTTTATCAGAGGTTCCATCTTTGTTTGGGTCTTTGGACCAGAATGACCAGCCAGATGATCTAGTAGTTCCGACCGGGTTCTGTGATCCACCAGCGGGTTCTTTTGACTCATCTGGGGGATCTTGCGGGGCCATGTTTGTGTCCAGAGCTTCGGCGGAATTCGTGGAAGGAGAGATCGTGGATTCTGTAGATGGTGCGTCTTCTTGCTTGTTCGGTGTATTTGTACCATACCACATCTGGAACCACGGTCGCTTCTGTGGTGTGGTGGCTTCAACAGTATCTTTTGTCTGTTCTGATTCCGGTTCCAGTTCTTCTTCCCGTGCTGTATAGTCTTTCACGGTAGGGTGAGCACCCTGCTCTGCCATTTGGTTTTCAGCCAACGGAGGCTCCTGGGTTTGTGTAGATTCTGGGACATTCGCAGCGCGTTCAGATGTAGCCAACGGTCCATAGATCCATGAGAGCCAACCACCAGAGTGTTCGGGGCCCTCTGCAGATCCCGCATGCGATATGCTGGGATCGGCGTTAGGGGTGGCCTCCTGCTCCTTGGCCTGTTCCTCTAGCGGCTTAATATCGTTCTCGCTGGGCGCTTCTTTATCGGATGTTGCTGGTTCTACGCCTCTGGGGTTTTCGGTATCGTCGGCAGTCGGAGTGGAAGCCGAACCATCCGATGCAATGTTGACTCGGGTGGTGGTAGCGTCAGCGGGCAGAGACCTGGTCGAGGCCCCCACTTTTCGCGTAAGTTGAATAGAAGGATGTCGATTCTTTGTTGAGGTATCAAGAAGGGAAGTCGATGAGTTCGCGACGCTCGATACTACAGTTTTAGCCGCTGAAATGCTCTCACGGGCAACCTCGGTAACTGGGGCTGCTTTAGACACTCTCGCAATGGAAGACCAAGATCCGGGGTACCAGCTCTATATGAACGATAGGTGATCAGTAAAAATGACAAAAGGACTGGCTATTTTGATCACAAAGAGCTTACGGCATTGTACCCCCGTGGCTGGGAGTCTGAACGGTCTCGGCCATCACCGCTCAGTCCAGCCGGTGAGTCCACGCCGGAGGGGCTGGTCTTCACTCTCTTGCGAGATCCCTTGGGCGTCATGGAGGTAGGGTGAAAACATCAGGTCTATAGTTAGATGGTCAAACCCAAGTGACAAAGCATCTACAAAGCGCCACAAATGACATGGGGGGTGCCTGGTTGATATCACGTCACATGTCTGGCACCGACATTTTGGCCTCAGGCAACAAACTGGAGAACATGTCCAAAGGCGGTGAGAGATAAGTATTGCAACTTTTTTTTTTCTCGGATCCTCTTCCATAGAAAAAGTATACATTCCGTTCTATTTCCCGGTCATTTTAAAAGGATTTTCTGGTCCATTGAGACCGGCTTTCTTTCAAAATGGCGATCCAGAAAAAGGTGTGTTCTATTTCATCTCAGCTCGCACCACTTCATGTACTAACTATCTACAGCATGGAAAAGGTCGTTTGGATAAGTGGTATCGACTTGCCAAAGAGAAGGGTTACAGAGCCCGTGCCGCTTTCAAGTTGATCCAATTGAATCAGAAGTATGGATTCTTGGAGAAAAGCAGAGTCTGTATCGATCTTTGCGCTGCGCCTGGTGTAAGTATCTTGAAATGGCACCTTCTATCCCAAAAGTCTTTGTCTAACAGCCGAGCAGTCATGGTGTCAAGTTGCCGCAGAGTACATGCCTGCACAGAGTCTTATCATTGGTGTCGATCTCTCCCCCATCAAACCAATTCCTCGAGCCATTACTTTCCAGAGCGATATCACAACGGACAAGTGTCGCGCAACGATTCGATCTCACATCAAGCACTGGAAAGCAGATGTTGTGCTTCACGATGGTGCCCCCAACGTTGGTGCTGCGTGGGTTCAGGATGCTTTCTCCCAGGCTGAACTAGTGTTGGAGTCCCTGAGACTGGCTACTGATTTCTTGGGCGAGGGTGGTACCTTCGTTACCAAGGTCTTCCGATCCAAGGATTACAACCCCCTGCTGTGGGTTTTCAAGCAGCTGTTCAACTCCGTCGAGGCAACCAAGCCTCCTTCGTCTCGAAATGTCTCTGCCGAAATTTTCGTCGTTTGCCGCGGATTTAAGGCCCCCAAGCGCATTGACCCGAAGTTCCTCGACCCGAAGCACGTCTTTGCTGAACTTACTGCTCCCACCCCCAACTACGAAGCGAAGGTTTTCAACCCCGAAAAGAAGAAGCGCAAGCGTGAAGGTTACGAAGAAGGAGATTACACCCAATTCAAGGAGCTCCCAGTGACGGAGTTCATCAACACTATCGATCCTATTGCTATCTTGGGTAGCTACAACAAACTTAGCTTCCAGCAGCCACCGGGTGGAGATCTTGCGTTGTCCACACTGGACCGTTTGGAAGAAACAACGGAGGAGATCCGAAATTGCTGTGAGGATTTGAAGGTCCTAGGCAAAAAGGAATTCCGCAACTTGCTCAGATGGCGTATCAAGTGTCGTGAGAAGTTCGGACTTGTCGTCAAAAAGAAGCCAACCACAGAAGGCGAGACAGAAGAAGTGGCTGAGGTGGCCCCTATGGACGAAGAACTGCAGATCCAGGAAGACTTGATCCGCATGCGAGAGCAGCAGACTACCAAGGGCAAGAAGGAAAGACGCAAGGAGAATGAGAAGAAGCGCAAGGATATCATTCGAATGCAAATGAACATGACCACCCCCATGGAAATCGGTATGGAGCAGCTCGGTATGGGAGGCGACGACACCACATTCACTCTGAGACGCGTCGACCGTGAGAATGCCAGAGATGCGGTTGTCAATGCTCGTGATCTTCCCGCCGAGAGCGAAAGTGAAAGCGAATCTGAGTCTGAAACCGAAGAGAGCGACGACGAAGAGGACCGCCTCGAAAGGGAGCTCGACCACATGTACAACCAGTACACCGGCCGCAGGGAAGATAAAGATTCGAAATTGCGTGCTAAGAAGACACGCAAGCAATACGAGGTTGACGAGTGGGAGGGCTTTTCTGACAGAGAGAAAGCCAG